GCTAGGTACAGGATGCTAGGTACAGGATGCTAGGTACAGGATGCTAGGTACAGGATGCTAGGTACAGGATGCTAGGTACAGGATGCTAGGTACAGATGCAATATCGATACCACTACAGCAGCTACTAACTAGATAGTAGGTTTTTCGCAACGAATGCTGAAGTGCTCAAGTTGATCCGACTGATGTGTTCTACTAATGCGACGGCGCCTGATCTATTCTATTCATTCTACTCCTCTACACACAATCGAAGCCTCTGCCTCTCACAGGCGAGTACTCACGCTCACGCTCATACTGCCACTCGTCCCCGTACTTGTCCACTCTGTCGCCTCCCCCTCCGACCGACTCTCCTCTCCATCCATCACAGCCATTACTTCCCTCACCTTCGACTTGACCTCCTCAGACACCTCCTGATACGGCCGTCGCGGCCTCAGCAACGCCACCGCCTCGGCAGCATCAATCCCAGCCCTCGGCGCCGTAAACACCGCAGCGGCATACTTGACGCAAGCCACGCCGCCGATCTTGCTGGCCCCCTCCGCCACAGCCAACAAGCTCTGCAATCTCAGGGCCTCCTCCCTCCCCCCGGCCATCCACAGGTCATAAATCCGACTGAAACTCCTGGGAAACACGTTCCCAAACGCCGCCACGCACCCGGCACTCCCCGCGACGAGCCCGCCGAGCAGGAAATCCGACTGTCCGCCGAAGACAGCGAACCGGTCCGGGCCAAACGCCGCCGCGAGACGCGTGATCTTCGCGACGGACCCGCACGTCAACTTGACGCCCACGACGTTCCCACAATCCCGCGCGATCGCGGCAATCATGTCGGAATCCAGATCCAGCCCGCCCGTCACGCCGGGGAAGTTGTAAATAATGATCGGGAGAGGGGACTGCGAGGCCACGTCGCGGAAGAAACCCCTCACTACGGCCGCGGTCGTCTGTTTGGCAAAGTACGCCGCCGGCAGGACGAGGGCGTAGTCTGCCCCCGCGGCGTGGGCGTCGTGGGTGTATTCGAGCGTTTGAGCCGTCGAGTGGCCGCTCACGCCCGCGATCAGGGGATACCCCGGTGGCACGGACGCGCGGGCCGTCTGGAGCAGGGCACGGCGTTCTTCGCGCGTCAGCAGCATTGTTTCGGCGTTGGTGCCTAGGATGACGAGGCCCGTGATGCCCGTGCGGGACAGGTAGGCGAAGTACTTGGCTTGGGCGGATAGGTCGAGGCTATCGGTGTCGGGGTTGAAGAATGTCACGGCGGGGACATAGGTGCCTGGGTTGGGAGCCCTCGGGGGGTGAGACTGATTGACAGACATCATGGAGGAGGTGGCAGTAACGGAGAAGTTGGTGGTCGAATGCGGCGGGTTGAATGAGATCTTGCTGTTCCCTTCTCCATGCCGGTCGTCGCTATCTATCATTTATGCGTTTCGCACATGTGTGTGTGTGTGTGTGTCCATGCTGTGTGATCGTTTAGCTGCACGTATTTCTAAGGGCGCGAAGGATAGAAAGCACGTCGGATGCGCTTCCGACCAGCATTCCATGACTTAGTAGCTGCCGCGCTCCGGCTGGTAGGGGTTAGAGTAGGGTATCCACCCTCAGCTCGAGTCCGGGCTTTTAGGACAACTGTCTTCTGGGCCGGGCATACCACTCCGGAGGGAAGACCTTTTTCTCTCTAGGGCGTGATCCCATGCAAGTCTCGAGTCAAGTGATATGCAATAGTATGGGCGGGTGAGGGGCTGAAACTGCCGGGTTTGGCAGATGACCGGAGAGGTCAGCTAGACGAGACTACCTCCAATGCGCACACAATCCCGCGGCTCGATCTTCGATAGATGCTCATTGGAAACATCACTGGAAAGAATGGTATCGTCAATTGCTTTTGAATACCCTTGATCACAACTCGGTATCTACGGAAAGCCAGTCCAAGGCACTGAGGTCCATGGACTCGGCAAAATTCACAAGCTGCTCCGCCGACAGCCCATCCTGCCACTGGAGCTCGTCCATGACAAACCCATCACTCATGGCCTCCGAAGGAGGCATATAAGGAGGAGGGGGAGGCAGCGTCGAAAAATGCGATGGAGCGCCCGAGAACCGCAACTCCCGCTCATCATGACGGGCCAAAGACACCCGTGGACCCGAATAACGACGGACTCTCCCTGCCGTCTGATCCTCCCCTGTTGGAGAAACCCTGTTAAGGATCCCTTCTAATTGTTCTAGCTCCGATTTGGTCATTTGAGCGACCATATTGCCTCGATAGATCATCTCCTGGAAAACCGAGTACGAGCGCTGCAACCAGGGGGCAGGGTCCTTGACGAGGGACGAGTTGACTTTCGCGGCCATCAAGAGGGCGATCCCCGATGTGAACGCCGCGTCGAGGTCAAAGGGCAGAAAGCTCACTGGGAGCCACACGTCAGTTTGCCGCTGAAGTAATGATTGGAGCGCATTCAGCACATACCCAGGAGACCGTGTTCTTGCAAGGCCGACAGAATCGTCAGCATCTGCTGCGCCGATTCGACGCACATTTGCAGCAGCATGCGCACGCTGCCTGATTTGAGCATAGCCACCAGATTCGCGTTCGACTGCTCGAGTCGAGATCGGAGAAAGGAGAAGAGTAATGGTCGTGTAGTGAGTACGATGCACTAGGAATCAGAGTCAGGACTCCCATGTCTGGCCCCCCTTTGCACTGGGATCTTGTAGAGCTCACCTGATGGTACAATAGGTGCAAGTACGCAGAGAGCCGTGAAATGGTGGTCTGGGAGCCGTTTTCGAGAATTCCGAAAGAGCCGTTCAATTGATCCGTCACCCTCGCTACGCTTTTTAGTGACTCCTTTGTGACGGTCACGAATCGCTTGTCCAGCCGTCCTTCCGGCCCATAGACAGCTGCGGAACGTTAGGCTCGCTTCCGGGAGCAGTTTGAGAGACTTAGACTCACTGTTGAGTATCTGAGCTAGTATCCTGGATAGCTGGATTTGGATATTCATTGCGGTTGACCGTTCCACTTGACCCGTGAATGTGGGCAGTTCGGCGCTTATCAGCTCGTCTGCAATCCCCATGGGTACTCCCATCAGGGACGACATCTGGCGATCGAGTACATAGACTGTCCACCACACCTTGCGACATCGCTGTGCTAGGACTTGGTCGACTTGTTGACTGCCCATCTCGGTATGCATGCCATGCTCCAAAGCCATGCGGAGAGCTTGGCCGATCTGGAAAGCGTTAATTGAAGACGACGTCGACGGCAAAGGGAGATCTTACCATGCGATAGGCAGCGGCGCGGAAATCGAGGCAATGTAGATAGAGAGCGGCGCAGCACAGCACCTGTATTGCCTCGATAGGGTCGGCATTATAAAAGGCAAATTCTGGCATAAGGGTCATGGCGTGGACAAAGAACTCGGCGCCAGGTGGCTTGCGGCCTTTGCTGCTCTGGGCCACAAATGCTTTGCCGAAGGCGAGGATGAGCAGGTAGTGGATGTACCAAAGACTAGGCTTCTGGTGTACTTGCGCCGGGTTCTCCTGGAAGGCAGATAGCTGTTGCATGAACACTTCCTCCTCGAAGAGATGGAAGAGCTGGCCGCAGTGGAACTTGACGGCGCTGATGAGGTATGTTGCAAAATCCGCGGACGGAAGAGCGGGAGGTTCAGGTTGCTGCGCAGGCGGGAAATTCCTCGCCCCATCCCACCCCAAGTCGTATGACTCTCCTTGGAACAACAGGTTCTCGGGGGGCAGAGGTGCACGCATGACTTTCTCATGAGCCATGGCGAGAACTCTTCGTCCAAAGGACCAGTTGGAAGACGTTCCTAGGTAGACTAGACGGGGTATCTCAATGACTGTACGCCAGGAAACAAACACTAGAACTTACTGGGTCTGCCGCTGGCGTCTGCAAAGTAGCTGGTGAAGCCATGTGCCAGCGGATTCATGAGTACCGGGCCTGGGGAGCTTCGAAGAGAATTGGATGCTCGCTGTCTTGGTGACGACCCCCGATTCGATGTCTCTGGCTGGGGAGGGACGGCTTCTTGTGGATCCGCTACGCTGCCTTCGTCTTCTTCGTCTACGTCAACGTCAACGTGAATGTAGTTGTCGTCGTCGTGTCCATCTAAGAACGGTCATTATAATTAGGTAGAGAGCATGATCACCAGAACCTACCAAGTTCCAGATCCGTACTCTGGTCGAGATGTCCACTGGTGAAACCCTGAGGGGCTGTGGAGTGTTCGCCGTGCTGCTCGAACGATGCCACTCTTCTCTCGAGGCCGCGAATGTAGCTGCTTGTTGTCAGTGTGAGAACCGGACGAGTACAGGTGGTCGTACCCTCGCGTGACAAGAATCTTCTGCGCGTCGTCATCGAAGTGACACGTCAATTTTCTCTTAGTACACGGATCGCAAGGACGAGATCCTGTGCATCTGATCTTCTGTCGGCGGCACCGACGGCAGCTTTGAGCGAGTCGGCCTTTCAGCAATATTCGGGGCTATTGAGGCGGGACCAGCACTCACGCTTTCGAGGCACGTTTTCTGGAATTGCTGTGGCTATCGGCAACCTTGGGCTCCATGGCGTCGTGCGAGACAGCATTCCGGTTTCTCTCGGAGTGTCTGCCACATCTTGACGGGAGTGTGATGGTGGGCAATGGCTGATAAGAAGCCGAGAGGCCAGATTCTTGGGCCGGTCAAGCGGGCCCACTTTAAGACCGGCCTGTGTCGACACGATAAGCCTGCAGTACTAGGTGACGATAGTAGGGCAGGGGCTATGTCCCAGTGTCGTATCCTGCCCTCTGCAGCGCCTCTGTTCCTCATCATCTCCGTCTTCTACAGGGTTTTGTTGGCGATCGAGCCTTCAAGGGCAGATAATACCACTCCGAGCAACCCTAGTCCGGAGATCCGATGCATATCACACACATCACGGGTTGAGCACTGGACTCGTATACACCAAGTGCCGAAAAGGTCCTCGACACTTATTGACCGAGCCACAACCACCGGATACCCAGCCGGTCCTCTATCAGGATGTCCTCGCTTGTCGCCACGCCTGATCTGACAGCCACTGCCGAGCCTCGAACACGACCTGATGCACCTTCAGCGACAGGGCTATAGCCCTCGCTCTGATAGATCATCTATCTTGGTCTGATCTGGAACTCCTCCCCTGCAAGCCGATAGCAACCTCAGCAGTATAAAGGATGGAGTTGACACCCTTAATTCTCCACAATTCTCCCAAGCTCAGGGCCGTGTATCAGCAAGCCTCGCCTCTGCAACGCCCAAAAGCCCAATTCTCGCTACATCCCGCATACTCGGTTCCCCCATACTCATCGCTGTCACCATGAACAATACAGCGATGCCTGAGACCGAACACTTCGACGAGAAGATGATGTCCAAAGAGGGTGATACTCTACAGCCAGTGCTGAGTATTGGCGACGCAACCATGACCGATCTCGACGACAATCGAAACGGGCAGTTTCCTCGTTCCTTCACGCCTCGTCAGGTCCACGTATGTGCATACCCCTCCAGCGCAGCCTGTCATTGTATACTGATGCTCTGTTGTGTAGATCATCTCTCTCGGCTCCAACATCGGTAGCGGTCTCTTCATTGCCACGGGCAAGGCTTTGGCTACGGGTGGTCCTGGCAACATGGTCGTGGCATACCTGATGGTTTGCAGCTGCGTGTGGGCTGTGCTGCAATCCTTGTCTGAGATGACCATAGCCTTCCCGGTCTCTGGAAACTACATCAACTACGCGGATCGATGGGTTGACCCTGCCCTCGCCTTCGGAGCGGGTTTCGCGGAGTGGTTAGGTTGGACCGCCATCGTTGCTGCAGAGGCTGGCTTCTTCAACGTCTTGGTTCAATACTGGGCCGAAGGTTCTTTTCCTCAGGCGGCGACGAGTAAGAACTGCCACAACACGTGCTCCTACCAAGCTAACCTTTTTCTCAGTCACCATCTTCCTCGTCGCGTGCATGGTCATCTTCCTCCTGCCGAACACTGTCTTTGCCTGGTTCGAATACATCACATCACTCATCAAGATCTTTCTCTTCCTTCTGATCATCACGCTGTCTCTGGCCCTCACACTCGGGGCCGGGCCCAACGGCTCTGTCCACCACGGAGAGACATGGACTGAACACCCCGCGTTTTTAAACGGCTTTTCGGTAAGTGAGGTCGTCAAATCGTGCTTTGGTCTGTGCTGACATTGCAGGGCTTCGCCAACGCTGCCTTGCTCGCGACATGGGCGGTCGGTGACCAGGTCTTCATTGGCATCATCGGTGGCGAGGCCAAGAATCCACGATACTCAATGGCACATGCAACAAAACTGGTGCCATTCCGAGTCAATTTTATCTATATGGTCAGCATCATCTTCATCACGATCCTGGTGCCATCCAACGATGATCGACTCCTCGGCGGATCTGGCGTCGCGGCCTCACCCTTCGTGATCGCGATCCAAGATTCAGGCATTCCGGGAATCGCCTCCCTGCTCAACGCCGGCATGATGTGCGGTGTTCTTGCCATTGCTGCCGAGAGCGTTTATCTTTCCTCGCGGATCCTCAGAACCATGGCACACCAGAGACTGGTCCCGGAACGTCTGGCCCGAGTGGACTCCAAGGGTCGTCCAAGGTTGGCTCTGCTGATCACCTGCCTCACGGCCACATTCTTGGGCTATATTCAATTGAGCTGTGAGTGATTGATTTCCTTCCTGATGCGACGGGTACAAGTTACTGATTGTATGGCTCGACAGCTGGCGGTCTGACTGCCTTAAACTGGCTGGTATCCTTGACGAGTGCCTCGTTCTTTTCCAACTGGATCATCATTTCCTTTACCAACTGGCGGTTTCACTGTGCGCTCAAGGCGCAGAACGACCCTCTCTTCACCGAGGTGTATGCGTGGAAATCGTCTCTGTGGCCACTGGCACCGGCCTGGCTCATGCTGATATCGCTCTTTCTGCTTGTGTGCTGCCTTGCCGCTGGTATCAATCCAATCGTAAGTAATTAGTCCCCTTCTCAAATATCCGCCGCTTAGCCAGGCGCCGCATGAGATATTGCGGGACGGGCAATCAAGCAATGCTAACCGTCCTTTTTCACACAGGGTGATGCCGGATTCACCGCGGAAAACTTTTTCCAGTATATGATCGGTGTCCTGGTGATCGTGGGATTCACCATCGCATACAAGCTTATTCTGCGGACACCGTGGCGTGATCCCAAGTTTGCCGACTGCAAGACTGGGCGGAGACCTTTGAGCGTTGAAGATATCAACCAGCTCGACGCCTATTACAGGATGAGCCGATGGAGGAGATTCATGACCTATTTACAGTTGTGGTAACTGGGCAGGCCGTGTTATACATCGAGGATCAGGTGCAGGCTGGATGATCTGGGATGACAATTGGGTCAAGACGCTGTGGGTGGTGCCGTCATGAATCATACACTGTTTGAATCGTGAAGTTTGACTCTCAGATTCCCATGTTTTCCCACAAATCCCCATAAATCAAAATGACTGGATCGGTCAGCACAGAATACCCCGCGAAAGAGTTAGTCTTCTGCCAGAATCTCTTTGCAATCAGGTCGATGGTGATAGAGCGGCAGTGCTAGAATGTGCGGCAGAGCGCAGAATGTTCGCATCACATCTTCCCAGGGCACCGGTTCAATAGAGCCCCTGAGAATGGCGAAATACACAGTAGAACTATACGCGTGATAGTAAGTGGCCCAGAAGAGTACAACCATAGCTGGTGCCTGACACCGTAAGCGATAGATTTCACATTGCGGTACCGACTGGGCTCCAGCGTAATCTGTAATGGCTTCTTCGAAGGGGAAAAAGCAGAGATCGAGAATGAGAGCCAGAAATCAATTGAACCGAGATTTTAACGTCCACAAATTGGCCTTGCAGTGATAAGTGCGCGGCCGCCCTTTCGTGCCTGGGTAAAATGCGAGAGGTACACTTCAAGCTCTGGACTTGAAGACAGTCTGGCAGCACCTTTGGCGTTGGTGAAATTGTGTATGTAAGCAACGGTAGCCAACGCCAACTATCAGGTGGGTGCCAATCATCCACAATAGGCATCAACGCCGCTACAGAGGCAGCAAACGGAGCTAATCACGGATCAATTTTGGTGGGCTGACAATCAAGGCAGCTTTGCACTTTGCCCTCGTACTGTAGTTACTCTGTACTCTAGAGAAGCCTCACTACTCCAGCTGCTGGTATGATCACATCAGGCCTGATCAGGCAAGTACAGACAGCCAGCTTCTCGAGTGGAGCATCGGCTCGCCTTCGATACCCGACGCTGATCTGCGTCGTGGTAAAACTGCCTGCGCTACGGCAGCCCATCCGACGATGCTTATCGTGAGGCCGTTCACACCGAGACCACATGCATCCCACGAGCCGGTACCGTCTTGCTCACCGCAGCTTTCGCTCCGCAGCTCGCTCATCGCAACGGAAGAGAACCCGTAAAGGATGAGATTCAATGGGGCACCTGGATCTGACTGTTGCGCTCAACGGTAATCTCCGATGCTGTAGGAGCAGTCGGGCACCAAGCCCGTGTCACACCTTCGCCGGAGACGATGGGCTCTCGCATTGAAACGGGCGGCTCTCCAGAGAAAATGGACGACTTCTTCATTGTACCGCGAGCGTTTGCCATAAATATCCGACAGCCGCTTCAGGACCGAACTGCGCATTACTCGGCGCGTATTCTTCCTCCCTTCACGACCACTGCCCAGCACAATGACAGCGCCTGCCGCCTTTCATACCAGCAGATTCTGTGCCCGAGTAGCATCGCGACCTAGCAGCCTCAGTATATGGTCGCAAAGGTCAAAGACAGCAAGGAGGCGGCTTTCAACGGCGGGAAATTACAAGACTCCGAAGCCCTTCAACGAGCCCAACGTAAGAGTAAGATGTTCCAATCGTGGCATCAGTCGGCTGACGTCCATCTAGTTACAGTATGCCCCATCGTCGGCAGAACGAGAGAAGATTATCGCTGCACTGAAGGAGCTGCGACCGAGACTCCCGGTCCAAGTGCCGACGATACGAAATGGAGAGGAAGTCACAGCCCAGCCAAGCCAGGCTGGTATAGAGACATACATGCCGTCCGAACATTCGTCCGTCTTCGCAAAATATACCCCTGCAACGGAATCCGACGTCTCAGCCGCGATCGAGGCTGCCCTGAAGGCCAAAAAGACATGGCAAGACATGCCGTTTGTGGATCGAGCAGCCATCTTTTTGCGAGCAGCCGAACTTGTATCCCGAAAGTACAGATTCGAGATCATGGCAGCGACCATGCTCGGCCAGGGCAAGAACGCATGGCAGGCTGAGATTGACGCCGCCGCAGAGCTAGCAGACTTTTTCCGCTTCAATGTCTCCTACGCGGAAGAGATCTATTCCAGGCAACCTACCTTGAACGAGCGCGGACAAGCAGGGTGAGTTGTGTCAAGCGTCGTATTTTGGCATTGACGGGATAATCACTCACGATTCAATCCACAGCCGGACCGATTGGCGTCCACTAGAAGGCTTCGTCTACGCCATTTCGCCCTTCAACTTCACCGCGATCGGTGGCAACCTGATCTCAGGGCCGGCCTTGCTCGGGAACGTCGTCCTCTGGAAACCGTCCCCGTCCAACATCTACTCAAGCTACTTGGTGTACAAGATTCTGCGCGAGGCAGGCCTTCCTGCCAACGTCATCCAATTCATCGGCGGAGACGCCGAGCTGGTCACCAAAGTGGCACTTGCGCACCCGGCGCTATCGGCCATCAATTTCACAGGCTCCTCAGACGTGTTCCGCAGCCTTTACGGCTCCGTTGCCGACGGCGTGCGGCAAAAGAAGTATCGTGACTTTCCGCGCCTCGTCGCCGAAACGTCCGGGAAGAACTTCCACCTGATCCATCAATCCGCCGACATCCCCAACGCCGTCAAGCACACGATCCGCGCGTCCTTTGAGTACGCCGGCCAGAAGTGCTCGGCCTGCTCACGAATCTACATCCCCCAAAGCCGCGCCTCCGAGTTTTTCTCTCAGATCAAGCACGAGCTGGCTGCCGTCAAGGTCGGCCCGCCTGAGGACTTTGAAAGCTTCACGGGTCCCGTGATCAACCGCACGGCCTTTGACAAGATCACCAGCGCCATCGACGCGGCCAACAAGGATGCCCAGCTCGACCTGATCGTCGGCGGCACCTACGATTCAAGCCAGGGCCTCTACATCGCCCCGACCATCTACTCTGCCAAAAAGGTAGATCACCCGCTCTTCGACCGCGAGCTGTTCGGCCCCGTGCTGGTCGCGTACGTCTATCCGGACGAGGACTTCGAGCCGCTGCTCTCCAAGATCGATCAGCAAGGGGGCGGGTTCGCGCTGACGGGCGCCATCTTCGCCACGGACAGCCGTGCGATCCGCCAGGCCGAGGACACTCTGCGCTACGCAGCCGGCAACTTTTACACCAATTGCAAAACCACCGGCGCCGTCATTGGGCAGCAGTCCTTTGGCGGGGCGCGGGGCAGTGGCACCAACGACAAGGCAGGTAGTGCGGGTATGTTGATGCGCTTCACCGCGCCGAGGACATTGAAGGAGGAGTATCATACGCTGGATCGTGTGCTGTATCCCAGTAATGCGTAGTTTGTGCTTGAATTACAGTCGTGGCGAGGCAGAAAGGACAGAAAAGGGACAGCGGGAAATGTAGGGTAGTGTAGTATGGTCTTTAGAGGTATGGTCTGGTGATATATAGATATCATACTTTTATATACACACATCTACATATATATATACGTTTTCCATTCGCATCAGATCCCCGACGGCAGGACTGCCAGTCGTGTCCCCTCCGGACAGTACACATATCAAACATAAGCTATGTGTTGGTTTGACGAGGTGAAGGAATGGCGATATCAGTGTCGTTGTTGGTGTAGCATGGCCGTGGCCGTGGGCGTAACTCATTCTACGGTACTGTACCCTAAATATGCTACACATATATACAAACTACCCAAGTAGGTAGGTAGGTAGGTAGGTAGGTAGGTAGGTAGGTAGGTAGGTAGGTAGGTAGGTAGGTAGGTAGGTAGGTAGGTAAGTAAGCACCGTCCTCCTTTCCATCAGCATTACACTACACTACTGGCCACTCTGTTCCTTCAGGTTCTCTTACAAGCTACTAGGTACACCAGGTACACGCGAAAGTACGAGGACACGGTATACATGGTACGCACGTATACATGCATGCATGCTATAATCACATCACATCACATCACATCACGTCTATCATCTTATAGCATGGGCGTGGCGTGGTATAGTATATGATAGTGGAACATTACGATCCCACGATCTCACGACATCATCATATCATACTATGACACTCCAGTATCAAGTCTTATATCCCCGCCCCGACATCCACCAGGATCTTGACCTGATTCTCCTTGTCCTCAATGAGAGCCTTGAACCCCTCCTCGGCGACCTTGTCGAGCTTGATTTTCTTGGTGATCATGCCTTCGGGTTTCATGGCGCCTGTGGGGTCACGCTGATGTTAGTATCTCCAAGAGCGCGAGCAAGCACAGCATCGCCCAGCATCGCGGACCACGTACCGGTTGAAATGGCCTTGATGACGGCTTCAAAGTCGCCGAGCGAGTACGTTGCTCTGTGGGTCGCGCGATCAGTCAGCGTCAGCCAGCCAGCAACAGAGCAAGCAAGCAAGCGAGATAACAAAGAAAGGCGTCCTCTGGAGTGTCATGCGCGGCTAACTCACATGCCCATGTATGCCCTCTCTCTAAAGACGATATCATTCATGGCCAGCGTGGCCCTCTTCTCCCACACGGCAATGTTGACCAGTGTGCCTCGTGCCTTGATGGCGCGAAACGCCGTGTCGACCGCCGGTTGCACGCCCGCGGCGTCGAAGCCCACGTCCGCGCCCTCGCCGCCCGTCAACTTCTCCACCTCGGCGACCACGTCGACCTGGGTCGGGTCAATGACGTGGTGGGCGCCGAATTTCGTGGCGAACTCCCGCCGCCGGCCCGAGACTTCGCTGACGATGATGTTCTTGCATTTCTTGCCCACCAGCACCTGCACGACGGCCAGGCCAATGGGCCCGCCACCCAGGACGAGCGCCGAGTCGCCCTCCTTGTACGGCGAGATGTCGACGGCGTGCCAGCCCACGGCGAGCGGCTCGATCAACGCGCCCACCTCGAGCGAGATGTTGTCCGGCAGCGGCTTGACGCACGACTCCGGCACGACAATGTGTTCGCACAGCCCGCCGCCCCAGCCGCTGAGGCCCACGAACCCGTTCTGGTCGCAGCAGTTGACGAGCCCGCGCTTGCACGCCCGACAGCTGCCGTCGTAGATGATGGGCTGCACGCACACGCGATCGCCGGCCTTGACCGTGGTCACGCCCTCGCCCACCTCCTCGACCACGCCGGAGAACTCGTGGCCCAGCGTGAGGGGGATGGTCTCGCCCGTGATAGGATGGGGGTCTTTCGAGGGGATGATGTTCGGCCCGCCCAGGTATTCGTGCAGATCGGAGCCGCAGATGCCGCAGAACTTGGGCGCCAGTTTGACGTGGCCCGGTTTGACGGTCGGGATGGGGATCTGATCGAGCCGGATGTCGCGGTTGCCGTGGAACCGCACGGCGTTCATCTTGTCCGTCATGCCGTCTGGTCGAGATGCGTCAAGGGATAGCGAGGAGGAAGGGGACCAAGTGAGGCAACTATTCGTACAGTTTATCGTTCTCTCTGTTTTCCCTGAATCAGTGTAAGAACGGTTTGGGGCGCACAAAGGATATATATCGGAGGGAGGTCAAAAGAGGGGAAGTGAGAGTCGCGCAGTCATGTCGACGGGCTACTATGTACGTGCTGTGGTGTACCCCATAATGCAAGCTCAGCAGTTCGTCATGCCGTAATGTGGACGCTCCACCTGAGTTGCAGGCAACGCAGCCCCGTCGAAAGCCGCGCAGGATTCTCAGGTTTGCCGTCGATGCTTCTATTCGTTCAGAAGGCGAAAGTGAGTCCTCCGCTCTCCACATGTTCGTGGTGGGTGTGCGGCAACGGAATACCCGATCAGGAAGTCCCGAAGTGAGGGGCAGATGAATGAAGGCCCATCGTATCGTCGAATCTGGGGAAAGCAGCAACAAGCAGTCACGTGGCAGTGTGCGGCGTACGGTAGAAGGCAGGTCGGCCGGGACTGGGTTGGATGATGTCATTTCCAATGTCCGTATTCGGATTCTCACAGGGCATGGGTATCCGGCTCGTGCGGTACGAGGTACTTGATTTACACAATAAGTGAAGGTCGCTTCCAATCGCAAAGTCAATACGAGACCGGATACCGATGAAATGCTTCTGCCTAGCGAGAACACTTACATTTCTCCTTATCAGCGGCTACCTAGGGACTACCGAGTCGTTTCAGCTGATGTTCAACATGATGTCCAAACAGTCAAGCAGGTAGGAAAACAGCGGGACAAGAACTAACAACCAAGCCATTTTACCCTTCGAGAACAGAACGCACTCATGGACCCTCCATCCTCAGAAGGGCGCTCCCATCACCTCAACGGCAAAACAATCATCGTCGCGGGAGCCGGCATAGCTGGACTGACCTTCGCTCTTGCATTGGCACGGCAGTTCCCTGGCTCGTCGACCTCCGCGGCAAACCCCAAGGTCGTTATCTTCGAGCGTGATAGCTTTGAGGAGCGCATTGGCCGGGAAGGATACACCCTATCCCTAAGAACTGATCATAACGCTGGTGGCATTCAGGTGTTGGATGGCTTGGGTCTGTATGAAAAAGTCAAGAATCTGAGCGTGAACGCGAAAGACATGGCAGCAGAACGCGGCAGATTCAATGTCTGGAGTCCTGACTTTCGCCCGTTTCTCCGCTTGGCAACTGCACCATTTGGGCCGAAACGCCTAGTTGGCATGAGAATCCGTCGAAACGCTCTGCAGAAGATTCTCGCTCAGGCCGCCGCGGATTCGGGGGCTGAAATACATTGGGGAACTGCCGTTATGAATGTCGAATTGAGTAAGTATGGCGGCGTTAATGTCTACCTCAGTGACGGCTCGGTCGTTCGCGGCGACATTTTAATAGCTGCCGATGGATCGCGCAGCAAGTTAGGATTCCTCTTGAGACCGAAGCATGACCTGGACTACACCGGTGTCTATTGCTGGTCCGGGATAGCTAAATATGCTAGCCCGGAGGCAGTACCAAGACCAGTCAACCGTGACTGGGGAGTAGTTGTTGGGGCAAAAGATGGTGTCGGATGCTTCCTATCGCCTGTGGACGATACATCGGCGTTGTGGAGCTTGAGTCGCCGCAGTCCTGAAAAGAAGGAGTCCCTTCGATACCCCATCCCAAAGGAACGGCTTGACTTATTGATGCAAGAATCCCTAGATCTGGCAGCGTACTTCGCTCCGGTGGTCAAGAATTTGGTCTCTGCAACAGATCCGAGCACGGTCATGCTGTTCAATGCCATGGATCGGAAGCCGTTCCCGCACTCGATCTCAACAGACGGGCCTGTCGTCTATACCGGAGACGCAAATCATGCCGTCAGCCCTTTTGCGGGCGCTGGGGCGAATCTGGCACTCATGGACGCGTGGGATCTTGCCAAGGCATTGAAGGACGCTTCAACCCTAGACGAAGCGGTGTCAGCATATGACAAGGCGGCCGTCCCTCGAGCCAGCGCTGTTTTGAAAGCTTCAAGGTGGACGATTGACTTAGCGCATGCGACTGGAATCAGGCTGATTCTGTACAAGGTGGTTCTTCAAATGCTGGGTTTCTTTGTTGCGAGAAGCTCCAGCAAATGATATGGGGTCATGGTAGTGTGATCCTGTTTGGCGGTCTGGGAGAACCTGTCTGGTGTATCCCTTCGGCTGTTCTATCCCCTCATCTCTGCACTGAAACGATCAGGACGTAGCCGCATGAGTTATGGCTGATCTTGGAATCCACACTCCGCCTTGTCCGATTAACCTGTCCTTCAAGGCCGCTCCTTCCGTCCGTACGCCCAGTAGATGCACGGGAACTCGATCGATCTGCCTTTGCGTATTCTGCCTGAAGTCGACATAGCGTTCTGAGACCGACCGGCTTGATGCCTTCGATTTCTCACGCTCCAATGTCTCTGCTACAGACCATGCCGTTCGGGCCAGAGTTGCGTTCGTGATGCTAATATCCTTGTAGAAGTCGAACAACTCCGCTTCCTTATCCGGCTCCTCATCGAGCTGTGGCTCTTGGATCGCTCGTAAATAGCCCATCATCATCACAGACAGCTTAGCATCCACGAAATCAACGGAACCAAACTCATGAATCAGGTAAACTCGCGCGTTGTTCTTGTGGATGACTGTTCTTCTTCTATCCGGATCCGGGGCAATTGTGATAATGGCTTGGCGCCATTCGTCTGTTATGCTTTTCTCAAGAGCAAGCTTCTTTGGCAGACTTACCGCTGCCCAGCCGAAGTAGACTCCTTTGTATCTCATCAGAACTTCCTCAGGGACACCCGTCAGGTTCGCTGTGGGCAGATTCAACAACGCCCTGCTTCTGCCGGTGCCAGCGACGACTTTCCCATGGAATCGTACAGGAAACGGCGTTACAGGCCCAGACGCGGGTCCGATAACAGCGGGTCGAGCAAGAGCATCATACTCTTCCATTTCGAAGCGGTTGTAAGAGCCGTCCCGAGCTATATCGTACTCTTCGTTCATGTTGTCCAAGCGGTCTTGGACTCCGCTTTGATCATAGGCGGTAGTCATGGCTTGCTGTGCTACCGCACTTGGTTGATAGACCGAAGTTATCTGATTTGTGACTGCCTCGCGTGCCGTGTTGACATACGGACCGGTCGTAGCCGTCACGAATTGTCTTCCGACAGTGGCCGCAAGCTTGATGCCCGCTTCTAGTGGCATCGTTTTGAGCGACGAACCCCTGACCACACTAGAGTCTGTAGAGGATGACGCCAGTCGGAAGATTGGACTACCGCATAGGGTACGTTTCCCGCCTTCCGTGCACAGGACCACCCTCAAGTAGCCGTCCTCGGCATCGCAAGGGATCCGAAGTATATCAGTCTCGCGTGGGCGATGAGATCGAAGCTCTTTCGGAGCCTTCTTCAAGAACTTCTTGATATCCCTCTGCCACGCGCGCTCGTCATTAGAATTCACCTGCTCAGCCGCAGCCTTCACGGACGGGGTTACATCAATCCAGGTGCTCCTAGCACCGAGAAGACCTCCAAGTTTTAGACCGGTCTTACCCGAGAATCCTCTCCGCTGCAACCATAGAGTCCGGTCTGGAGGCAGCTCCCGGTCCGAGAAGATTGTGATTGCAAGATTCGTGGATGGACCAGAGTAGTAGACTATGCCAAATGAATGCCGAAGAATCGAGTAGTGCTTGGTAGATTCATATGGGTGGCCGATTAACCCTCCCGCAAAATGCCTGACATCCTGCAAAGCTGATACGAATTTGGACTGCGAAGGAGAAGGGTTTGAGATTGTGGGAGAGAGAGGCGTCATAGGTGTCGCTGGCGTTGATGTCGGCGCAGTACTATGGTAGCTAAACTCCGTCGAAATGCTGGCCGGTGATTGCACTATACTGGGAGATGGCTGAGATACGACGGGCGGCGACTGGACCCCAGGAGGTGACTCCAGGGTCATCGCTTGCAAGACAGCAGTCTGCTCCTCCAGACTCAGATCCTCGCCCGCCTGCGTATGCGTGAAGTGATTGAGGTCATCTGTTTGAGCTGTCCGAAGCGGCGGCGGTCGGTTGCTGCCATCCGCCTCCGAGGCACTGGTTCGGGATTTTGTCAAAGGCATTTTCGAGGTGAAACAAGACAAGCACATGAACAGGCGACATATAATCAATATTCCGGGTACCAAAGGGCATAACGCCCATCGGCGAACTTTGCATTCGTGCCCATATCGTACGGAAGCGTACACAGGGATTGCTTGATGGCGTCGAGTTGGAGAGAACTCAACCTAGGAATCAATATCAGAATGAGACCAAGAACAAGATGAAAGAAAGAGAGAGGGTCGTGGAATCTATGGGAATCGCGCCTCGGATTCCGCAGTTTCCGGTCATTTGAACTGCGTGTCTTTGGTGTCTGTGCTGCGCCGTGGTACGGAGGAGCACCTGCCACACAAGGACTTTTTCTGCGCATTCTCAGCGGTGTGTAAGAAATTATCCCATTCAGATGACATCTAGGCCCTCGATTCTGCGGCTTCTTTGCCGATAGCACCAAGCCTGAAGGGAATGTCGCGCAGTCTCTACATCTGACTAGTGATTCGTTATCAACTTTGTTGGCGATGGACCCGGGTCGACTTCAGAGGGCATCATTGGGCGCCGCTCTCTGTGCTGGGTCAGACAGGAAGTCTGCCTTTGCTGGCTGCTGTCAACCAAGCTCGGGTATGCTGTAAGGTTACCTCACCACATTAATGAGGATCCGAAGCTTGTTCGATGAGGCTGCTCGTATGCCATTCAAAGCGGGCTCGAACGGATGGAGCGCGATCATGCATGTTGTGAATGATACCAATCTAGGGCAGACCGACGAGTGCTATGACCATATAGCGTCGTGGCGTTCTGATTTACACTCGTTGGTCGAAGCCAAGCCTCGAAGCACCGGAGGCATTCTTCAACGCGGAGGCGGTGAGCATGTTCCTGGACCCATCTCTAGGAAAGAGGCCAGATCTATTCCCATGTCAGCTTTTTAGCCCTTCGATTTAGGGTTCCGGAGATATAAGAGGTCGACCATGGCTCACTCACATCGAGAACTGCATCATGAGACTCTCCCACTGGAGATGAGGATCTTTGCGCCGACGCTACAATGGCCGCATGGCTCTGGCTGGCTCCTCGACCCAAAGACACACTCCATACCGCCTCGGTGTTCATTCCTAGACGTCGCTGCAATTTGCCGGTCCTTAAGTCCCACATCTTGACGGTGCCATCACTCCCACCACTCAGAATGTGCCCGTCCCCTGCATCAAGCGAGGTCACTGCCCCTTCGTGCGCCTTCGAGATCATATGCAGGATTGAATGGTCCTGCCACGACCAGATGATGATATTCCCATCGGCACCGCCAGTCACCACGGCAGAGCTGTCAATGCCGCAGCTACTGACACAGATGTGGGTGACCAATGACTCGTGGCCCTTCAGAACCGCGAGAGGCCGTCCAGTGCTAAGATCCCAAATACGGACATCGTGGTCCATACTGCCGGTATATACTCTCTCTAAGATCCCGTCACTGTGACAGATGACGCGGTAGACGGGTCCAGTATGGCCAGACATGGTTGACACGTTCCTTGGCTCGCGAAGGCTCCACACTTTGGCAGTCCCGTCTTTACTGGCCGATTCTGCGTATTCTCCGACGACGGCCAGATCGAGAATAGAGTCTCCGTGACCTGAGAGCGTGCCCTGGCACGACCCGGTGCCCAGGTCCCAGATCTTCAGGAGCGCATCCTTCGACGCCGACACCGCCGTCGTTGCGTCGGCAAAGCCCAATGCGCGCACGGTTTCCGTGTGTCCAGGGAGACTCCCTATGAGGTGCCTGTTCAGATGGAAGATGAGCGTTGCTTGCCTACCAGATGAGATGAGATGAGACGGGGTGAGACGGCCGCTCAGTCAGCTTAATCGCCTCACAGAGAGTCATCAAGGAGTCAGTGACGGTGACAGCGACGGTGGCACGTACCGCTCGGCCAGATCCCAGCACCGAATCCCACCGCCTATCTCGCCAGAGAGGAGAACATCGTCACGCAAAGCCAATGACCAGGCATTCTGCGGATAGTCTCGAAACACGACGATAGGCTCCCCAGCTGCTGAAAACACGTGGATGGTCTTATCGTCCAGGCTCAAAACAATATACTTCTCCGAGACGGACACTCTGATCACCACCACACCAGAGCTGGATAGTTTGTGCCGAATATGCTTGTCGGTGTCGTGCTCCGATGTGGGTGCGGGTGCGGGTGAGTGAACGGATTCGAGCTCAGCCCGTGACGAGCTCATAATTAGCTAGTGAGGAGCTGCTGGACTGTTGAGCACTTGACTGTGTCTACTCACGCGATTTCAGGTCATGCTTTGCGCTCCTTGATGAGTAGATGCGGCGAACGAACATGAGTGATATTGAGCACAGAACCTAGATTATATGTTGCTGCCATACGGGGTAAAGCCGAGCAGGATCAGTATGTACCTGGGGTCGTGGGACGCCTGACTCTTCCTCCTCCTCATCATCATCATCAGGCCGTCTTCCCGCGGCATCGCTTGTCCCCTGTTGTATTTGTACCAATAGGCATGTCGGGTTTAGCCTTTTCCCGCCCTTGTTCGACCCGAGCTGACCACCGCTTCGTGGCCTGGGTCCCTTGCATTGTACCTTGCACTCGTACTTGGTACCTGACGAGGTGCGTGCCGCGTAGTCGTACCGATGAATGTGGGTTTGCGAATCCTCGTTACTGGCGTACGTTCTAAGGGATGGAATGAAACAACTCCCGAGTGAGTGTCGGGCGATCTGCGCCTTGCATGTCGTCGACTGGCACGCCGTGAAAACTGCAATGTTGGGAAGATTGGAATTCTTCGACTTGACGTGACGAAACGCGATGCAACACAGGAATCTGCGACATGCACGGTTGGCGGTTACACACGTCTACCTAGGTAGCGTCTCCGACTCAAATTTGGTGCTGCCCGGGTGCGTGGGAGCCGAAGGACAAATACATCGGGAGCAATCATCACTGACCCGTTCCGGTTGTCGAGTTTCCATAGTTCAATTAGGCAGCTAATAAGCTAGGGTACAAATACACATTCTATCGTAACATCATGCAAACTCCTGGCTGAAGAGTGCTGCTGGTATTGTTGGTACATGGCAACTCTCGTTCGTGTTGCACCACCCTCCATGCCCTATGCGTGACTCGCCGATGTTGTACACTTCAACGGATGGGTATGGTGTTAAAGTGATAAGAAAGGTGGTATCATGACCATCTGGTCGAATGATTGATGTGGTCACTGGACCATAACCCTTGAGCAATGTCCTAATAATTCGTTGCTTGATGGTTGTAGGGCACATTCTGTCCGTAGCCAGGTTGCCCGTACTTCGGCTCGGTAGAGAAAGGTGCATGTCCGCCGTGCATGGTAGATCCGGTCATACCGGTCTCGTGACTTGGACGATAACCCGCGCCTGCCCCAGTGCCGGTGGCCAACTCTGCGTCTCGAGTAGTGCGGACCTTTTTGTTGCGCCTCCAGAATGGTCCTCGACCAGTGCCCTTGGTATAGTTGTTCTTTGGGCTCGGGCCGAAACGCTTCTCCTTCTTGTGGTGGCGGGCGAGAAGGACCTGAACGATCGCGGTGATGAGGAACAGGAAGATGTTCAAAACCGCCATGGCGAAAGCGGCGGTGTTCAGGCTGCAGACGTAACCCCAGTCACCGGCGCCGGGAGCGGCCTCGCTATCTGGACCAAACCCGAGAGGGGTGTTGACGATGCCCCGGCATGAGTTTGCGCCATGGCGAGTGTAGTATGCGATGGCGGCAAAGCAACCGACGAAGCAGATGTCGAGAATGATGGCGATGAGTGCGAAGAAGGTAATCCCGCCGAGGAAGAGGGTGAACAGAACGCCGAAGATGGTGTACAGTACCGCAGCGCCAGACATGCCCTCGACCGCCTTCTCCCATGTTGGAATGTGGATGTCTTTCTGAGCCAGTACGGCGAGGAAGTAGCTGTAGATTCCGAGGATAATGGCTGAAGAAGCGAACTCGAGGAGCCGCAGGCCAGTCTGGCCGAAACGGAGGACGGCACCACCGAAAGCCATGGTTACGTTGGGGTCGGCGTGTGAGGGTATCAAGACTATCGCTGGAGGTGTGCTATGGTGTGGTTTCTGGGTCGGACAACGAGGGATACGAAAGAGGGTTTGGGGGCCTCTTTGTAGCTCGTGTGAGGAGGTCCCATTCAGTCCGTGCGTCTTGCTCCCTGATGGTTTGATGAACTCAGAAGTTGGCGGGTGACGTTTTGTTGTGGCTGTCGATCAACGACTGCATCATTTTTCCTCGGCCCCAAGACGCAGGGACCGCGCAAGTGGCGTTTGCATGTGTATATGATTGGTTGGAAGTGCCCCCTACGCCACAGTCATGACATAACAAGCCAGCCCACGTCCCGCCTGGCGCCTGCGCTCGAATGACACCCTTGAGAATTGATTGGTGCGATCAGAACAAGTGCTTTCCGATCGAGCTGAATTCAAGAAATTTCAACCCGGACCAGGCGACGACAGCACATTGCCCAGTACGGAGTACTGTGGAACTGTACGACAGTACTGCGTACATGCACACACCCAAGCCACCACAAAAGTCGTGCGGCTCGATTTGTTAGTCTAAGACGGTACTGGGTACTCGTGCTCGTGATGCCACCAACAACCAGAAGTTTTCTCGATCCTGTTTGCTTCACGAGCCACAGATCTTGGTCGCAGAACGCTCGTCGCACCGCCACCACCGCCAAAGCTTCGGTCGGTTATGGTTTTACGAGTACTACCTAACGTCCTCTCCACGCTCCAGACCTCGATCGCGTAACAAGCACGGCCGGAGAAATAATTCGTTGGTGTCGCACTCTCCTGAAGCGGCAGGTTCAATAATGCAAATTCCACCCTTTGACAGTTGAACAAGTTGGTTGGCTGGCAGCGATGACATTTGCCGTCTGCTATGACTTGAGAGCTATTAACCATATCAATTGCAGCTTCTGACCAGAGTTCTGTCTTCATCTCGGTTTGATCTCATCTAATCATCATTACCACGTCTATCTTCTCTCAGACTTCGGCCTGCAAAGTCCTTCCGCAAATATGTCCACCGAAGAGAACGTAATCTGCCCAAGGCATTCCTGAAGATGCAACCAAAGTGTCCTGGATGTGTGACAATAGCGCATGACACTGATTTTTCACTCCGTTCGTCACAATGTTTGATCTTACTGCATAAATAGACTGACCGCCAACACCCCCATGACAAGCGATCCTGCTGTGAAATCGCCAATTCTTGCGGCACCATTGGTGTTCGACGGCTGGCTACCGTCACCGGTAGCCGACGGAGTTGACGATGACGAAGGCGTTCCTGACGGTGTGCTACCACTAGTGTTGTTACCGGGCAAGTTGCTTTCGTCGTTCGGCAAGATGTTCAGCTCGAGTCCAGTAATCTCCAGGCCGTTGGAGTCATACACAGTCTGTGTAGGTTGGGTATCCGTGACCGATGAAGTTCCGGTAGGAAAGTTACCGCTAACGCCGTTCTCTATCAAGTCGTCGACACCGTCGGGGCGAGCAGGAATGTCAAAGCTGTTACTGAAGTTGGTCCCAGCAAGCAAGCTGATAGCACAGACTGGTGGGGTCAATGAGGTCGCGGTAGCGTTGGCTTTTTCAAGGATAGCGACATCTAGTGAGTTGTACTGCTCCCGAAGATTGTTGTAGTCTTGCAGGATTGACACGGTCCCGTTCTCGTTCAGGTTCACAAGACCATAATTGTTGGGCTCTTCACTGTATTCGTAGATGAGCCCACCGGAGAAGACCCTTGTCATGTCTTCGGAGTACAAGGCCGGAACCTCACTGAACTGGCGGGGAGTGACGAGATTGCAGCCATACTCGGAAAAGAAGATGGGGATAGTAGTGTTACTAAAATCGCCAACCAAGACATCGTAGCCAGAAGACTGGAATGTGGCATCACCACACCACGAGTAGGAGTTGAGACCAAAGAAATCGATCTTGGAGCTCGTATCGTTGTCCAATCCGCAAGACAGATAGTTGAAAGTGCCCATCAGCAAGGGACGGACATCGGCAGCAGAGTAGCCGACTGGAATCTCGCGAGGGGCTTGCTTGGCGATGTAGTCCTTGAGGTCTCTGGTAACGGCGCGGATGTAGGAGGGTACTTCAGGGACAGAATCTTCGTTGATGACCTCGTTACCACTGAAGAAGCCCAGGGTGTTGTTGAAGTGCATGAAGGATTCCACCACATCGAAGACACGCTCCAAATAGGTCGAGCTGTACGACTCCCAGGGTGCGCCGCGGTTCAGAGACTGGTTTGGCAGAGGGCTGTTGACATCCAGAATCATGTAGATGCCAGCGGCGTTGAAGATGGAGGCGCAGGCAGAATGGTCCAGGTCGGGATCAAGGTTGTAAACACGGATAGCGTTCACACCCAGTCTCTGCATGAGGACGGCATCTCGAAGGCAGACGTCGGCATCGCTCAAGGGGTCAATGCCAGAGCCGGGATTGAAGCCGGATGACCCACCGGGCTGATAGCTGTGCGCAGGTGTCAGCATTGTATTGTTCCAGCCGGAAGTCTATTGTCTCATACGCAACACCAATGATCTGGAAACGGGTACCATCGACACTGTTGACAAAGTCGGAACCTTGGACAATCAGAGGAGAGACTGCAAAGGCGTAGGAGGTAAAGAGAGCGATAAGGGCGAGCAGGGTCGTCTGGAGCTATTCCACCGGTTAGCACATGTCAAGAGCACTGTATTGATTTGACTGCTTTACCTGGGCCATCTTGTTCAGGAGGTCGTGATATCAACCTGCTACTTCGGTAGTGGAGGAATCGAACTGAACTACTCAAGGGGTTTGAAGGAAACAAGCGAGAGATTTCAGTCAATATCTGGGTGCAGTTGAAGGCCGTAGCTTGAACGAAGGACGCGGCTTCCTCAACAACAAGAAGCTGCGCAGGGTGAAGAAGCGAAGGCGCAATTAACCACCCGCAGGTGCGACTCAACGAAGGTGAGAAAGACGATGATGCAGTTGACAAGGAGCTACAAGAAGGTATACGTACTCCACGAGCCTCAGCTTGACCTCAACGGACCATTTGCACATCCATGCGCGTTTGCGTCCGGAGCCCCAAGCACGTTTTCACATTTTAGGTATGGCGTATAGATTCGGTGGGCATGATTCGCGATACTGAGTCTCCACTTCGGATTGTCTTCCATCGCGTTGGAGACCGGCGGAGGACAAAGTGGCCAATCATGGCCCTCTCTAGAGAAATAGCCGAAGTCCTATCTTGCCTGGAAATTACCCGCGCGGCGCCCAGAGGTGCTGGATTGCATTTACAAAGTACCACAGTAGTTATCGATACCTTTGCATGCGTCGGAGCCAAGGAGCGACCCGGAGCTGACGCGCACCTGCTGTGCGACATGTTGTGCATGTTTCAGTAGGATGAGAGAGGAGCTCATCAACCCGGAAGATCCGCCTGTGGAACCAAAGAGCGGCCGATCCGGCTAGTTGCGCACGGAAGGTAAGCCGACGTCAAATTGCTCTGACTGGCATTCGTGAGATCGGCCCTACCGCATGCGCTCTGGACCTGGGGTGCCGTGTACTGCAAAGATGTCTGCTTCAGAGAAGAGCGCGGTTCCCCAGCGAGCAGCACAGAGGACAATTGTCTTCTTCCATCCAGATCTCGGAATCGGTGGAGCCGAGAGACTAATTGTTGATGCTGCCGTTGGCTTGCAAGAGCAAGGAAACAAGGTCACCATCTTCACCTCTCACTGTGACCCCAATCATTGCTTTGAGGAGGCCAGAGATGGTGAGTACCGTGCTTGATCCTACGTTCAATCACAGCTAAAGAGTTGACAGCTCGGTGAGTACAGGCACCCTTGATGTCAGAGTTCGCGGAAACACCCTGTTTCCCCCCACGTTCCTAAACCGCTTCCATATTCTCCTCGCGATTCTCCGCCAGATACATCTCGTCTTCTCGATCGCAGTCTGGAGCAATGAGCTGAACAGACTTGAACCCGATGTGTTCGTGGTCGACCAGCTGTCGGCCTGCGTGCCCCTACTGAGATGGCTCTTTCCGCGCCGCCAGCGCACCCTCTTCTACTGCCATTTTCCTGACCAACTGCTTGCGGACCGGCGGACAAGTGGGTTGCTAGGGCTCTTGAAAAAGGCATACAGATATCCCTTCGACTGGTTTGAGGGATGGAGCATGAGCGCAAGTGACAGGATCGTCGTCAACTCCAATTTCACGAAATCAGTTGCGTCGAGGGTCTGGCCGGCCCTCTCAGAGTCTCTAGGCGTCATATACCCGTGCGTCAACATCCAAGAGACGAAGGTACAGGTGGAACCGGAAGAGACGCCATTGTGGGACGGACGGTTCAAAATCCTTCTTAGCATAAACCGTTTCGAACGGAAGAAAGATATTGGTTTGGCTATACGGGCTTATAACAACCTCTGTGCTGATGCCCGTAAAGGGACCCGATTGATCATAGCTGGTGGGTATGATCAGCGAGTTTCTGAGAACGTCGATTATCACAAAGAGCTGGTCGACATGGCAGAGGGATTCGGCCTGTCAGCTGCCACTGCCAAAACAGTGCCTACAGCCTTGGGTATCCCCGACGACATTCAAGTACTGTTTCTGTTATCCGTACCCGGGCCGTTCAAGGAGACACTTCTCAACAATGCTCGGTTGCTACTATACACTCCCTCCAACGAGCATTTTGGTATTGTACCCGTGGAAGCTATGCAGCATGGACTGCCCGTTCTTGCTTCAAATACGGGCGGGCCTCTGGAAACCATTGTCGAAGGTGAGACAGGCTGGCTGCGAGACGTGACTAAAGTCGAGGAATGGACTGTTGTGATAGACAAAATTTTGAATGGGATGAGCTCAGCAGACCTTGAGAGCATGAGTCACAATGGGCGCAAAAGAGTCCACCACTACTTCACAAGGGTGATTATGGCAGAGAAACTCAGCAATGAGTTGGACGCCATGCTCAGAAACAAGCGCAGTACCTTCCTCGAGAGAAAGGACATCATCTTCGGGCTTTCTCTTGTTGCTGCGTTCGCGGCAGCTTTGTTTGCAACCGTCGTCAAGGCGAAAGGTGGCCAAGGAGACAGAAGAGCGACCGAGTTCGTTCGGGCGAAGAGAATGCACGGAGACACTGATGAAGGGCTAAAGATGTTTTCCAATAATTATCATAGGTAGCGGGTGTAGAGACCGACCACACTTAGACTTCTTATTGAGAAGCCGTCATCAATTGGTGAATAAATTGTGAGGCCACCGAGCACAACTTACTACAACATCCTACTATCACGTGACTTCCCGCTACGTGCCCTTTTACGCGTCTTATAGGGGTGCGCGTCTCCATGGTCGCGCTTGTTTTCTTTGGCCCAATCGGGCCTTCCTTGGCTCCCTCTCGCCATCCCACCCTCTCACCGACGGCAACGTCAAAACTTAACAGTAGTTTCACTCTGCCTCCGCTCTTGCTGCTTTCGACTTGAAGATCTCGGCTTCCACATTATGTGCTCTTGAGGTACTCTTGTCCTTCTGCGTGAAATACATGTCCAACTTTGGAGCTTGCAATGGTCGAGGTGATCCTTCTTTCCTCCAGTGCGCCACCCAGCCCAGTGAGGACCAGAGTTGGCGCTGGATCCAGCAAAACTAGAATAGCGCTACCCGAAAAGCTCGACCTTGATCTTGACAAGTTCGACGATGATACCACCCTAGATTTCAGTATCGCTAGGCCTACCAAAAAAGCGCGCCTAAGCCCGGAAGTACGGTCAAATTCGCGACTCAGACAGCCGAAATCTGCCACTGAAAATGTCCGTGGACTCGACTTCAACTTCTCTTCCGATGACGATCTGACAGACGTTCCGAGGGAGACGACTGCTGGGAACTCTCTGAAAAACTGTTGGAAGCCGAGTACCGACATCGAGATTTTAGACGAGATCACCTACTCGTCCTCTGCACCAGAACTACTGTCATCGACCAGGACAAGGCAAACTGGCGCTGAAACCACCACGAAGTTCGTGTTAGAGGACTTCTTCGATGACGATCTGGGAGATTCAAGCATTACCCCGCCACAACTGGAGCATGACAGCAGACCAGCAGACCTTCTGCCTAACCTTACAAAAGGACCAAGTAAACGTCAGAAAAGAACCTCCGCGAACCCTGAACTAAACGAAAGAAGGAGCAATGCGAGTAGAAAAGCCACTGCCAAGGATGTGGACGATATTGAGTTTTCCAGCCCTGTGACCGCCAAGTCATCGAATTCATCCAAGCTATCGAAAGCCGAGAAGGCCACCAAAGCTAGTGAAAGAGCCGCGCAAAGGGCAGCTGCAAAGGCCGACAAAGAGGCAGCCAAGGAGATTGAAAAGGCGAGAAAGGCACAAGAAAAGGAACAAAAGGGAAAGGAAAAGCGGAAGGCAGCAGACCTCGCGAAAGTCAACAAGTCACGAACCAACAAGAAAGATGCGACGCCCGAAATGATCCTGGATATGTCGAGCCTCCTCAAGGATACCAGTGTTGGCACCCAGGTCGAAAAGCGCATGGAGATTGCCCAGGTCGAGGTCAACTATATCAACGAGGAGATCAGCCTGGCTGATGACGGCGTTGATCAAGAACACCACGGAAGCATCGTTACGTGGCGACGCAAAGTAAATTCGACGTACAACGACGAAGTGGACCAGTGGGAACCGACTTCCAGATGTCGGGTTGTCAAGGAGAAGCATGTTTTGATTCACCTGTCGGCCAGAGACTTTGTCGCTGTGGCTGCCGTCGCACGGTCTGGCGCTGAGGGTTCTGTCATGCGAACAGAGGAAGACCTGAAGGCCAACCTTGATGCACATGTCAAATCCATACGGCAGCGCTTCGGCGATTGCATTCCGGTCTATCTCATTGAAGGGCTGCGCAGCTGGCTAAAAAAGAACGTCAATGCAAAGAATCGAGCATATACTGCTGGTGTTCGTGCTCAGATGTTGCAAGCCGATGCCGATGCGGAACCAGCTTCGTCACAAGCCAGAAGTCGAAAGCGTAAGAAGCCACTTTCGGACTCTTTGGATCTCTCACATGTCACATCCGACATCGTTGACGACCTGCTCCTACACCTTCAGTTGGTGCATCAGCCGATATTGATACATCACTCGCCGACGCCCACGGAGTCGGCTTCTCAGATAGCTGCCTTGACCCAACACCTTGCCGTCCGACCTTATCGGGTGGCGCAGCTTGAATACAACCTCAAGTCGGCATCATTTTGCATGAACAGCGGTCAGGTCCGGACGGGAGACGACGCGAAGGATACCTTTGTAAAGATGCTCCAAGAGGTGCAGAGGGTAACTCCAAGTATGGCGTATGGGATAGTTGAGGAGTTCAAGACGATCAGAAAGCTCGTTAAAGGCTTCGACAAGCACGGCAATCTGTTGCTTGAGAATGTGCGCAAGACTGTGAACAAGGATGGCGGGTGGAGTGACAAGAGACTTGGTCCTCAGGTCAGCAAAAGATTGTTCAAGGTCTTCATGGGCCGGGATCCTGCTGCAACCGACGGCATGTCCTGACGCTACCGCACCCTTGATGCTTCTTCAGTATATTATCAGATCCGTGTGATCAGTCTCCCCGACTGTCTCTGACCGCAATGTTTCGTCGCCAGCGAAAGCAAGCCACATATGGTACTATCAGTATATCAAGAGATGAGCTGGAGACCTCGTAGCTACAATTACGTGTTCTAGCAATGTCGAATAGCAATACCAGGGCCCCCACCCAAGAGCCTCAGCATATTTCTTCGACGGAAAGACAGTGTTCTTCCAAAGCACCTCCGGCGGGTTCATTCAGTGCTACGACATAGACAGCCAGCGAAAAACTCTCTGACGGTCTGGATGGGCGGGAGGTTCTAAGTCACACCACCGAGATGGAAATCTTGATTGACGGCGACAACAGGAGGCCTCGAAAGGCATGTTAGAGTGAGAAGACAGACTGATACTGTCTCCGGAGGTGTACAAGTTGCAAGTGTGCAGCCTCGACGACTCCCGTTGAGCTCGTTGTCGGTGTCTTCTGAGGCCACCCGGGTCGGAGCTTGTTGCCCACCTCGCAGCACTCGTTTTCGCACAGGGGTGTGTTTCAAGTTCGTGTTTCATCTCCGGGGGAGCTGCTTTACCGAGACCGACAGCGCGTTGTCAGAGGTCACAGACGTGCACCTTGAAGCAGGAACGTTCTTTGTGCAAGTTCTTTGGGACTGGCAACTACTGTGTACTCTGTGGTCGATCGCTTTGCTGCTTGGAATCTGGCGGACTCCTTCATGGCAATTCGGCCTATTCTCCTTCCGTTCCGGCTAAGCCACAGCGATGTTTGTCAATCAGGCCGGCTTCGACAGACTTGGCACACCGTTCAACCTGGCTCGTCGCTAAAGTGAGACAGAACGTTTCGGCCGGGTTTGGACCGGGTCTTCAGGCCCCCCGAAGGCGCCAAGCGCATCTTTCATGAGCATTGTTTGCGCTGCCCCAGTACAAGGCCTGCAAATCACAATCAACGAGGCTAGCAGGGTAGCGAGGCTGCTATACTGAAGCGTGACATGGCGTCCAATCAGAGCTTTAGGCACGGGATACGGGGTTTCGGTGTACCCCGTACTTCAGAAAGGGCATCATTCGCATGGCCCACGGGGGCCCTGTCAAGTGTCCGGCCTCATAAGAGCTACTCGTCGTCGCAAACTCTTTCCGATGCTCGGCACGACGTCTCCAGCGCTCATGCGCCGGTGCGCGTATACTCAGCACAAAGGAAAGACCGACGCCGAGTCTCGACAGTATGCTCGCCGCCACGAGAGGCAGCTATGTTGGCGTCGACCTCGATGAATCCGGCACCGAAAGGGTGCGTACTCCCGCCAGTCGTTACAGTCATCTATCCGCCGTTCGAAGGCGCACAGGTCAAACGACGTCCAAGATCTCGTCCAGTTTGCAGCAAGGCCTGTCGAGAGAATTTTGGCAACAAGCCATTCCGAGATCCAAAGCCTTCTTTCGGGAAGCCTTTTCCGACCTCAAAAGCGTTCATCACACCGTTTGCGAAACTCTCGCTTGCGTCGGGTGGTACCATCTTGCATGGCGGTCCATTACACTGATTTGCCCGCTTCTCTTCATTGTCGCTACCATGGCCATCCTTCCGATTATCTCATCGCACAAGCTTTATCCGGTCCGCGGCGCTTGCCAACCGGACAGCGGTTTCTACGTCGGCTTCCGAGACTATGACATTTGGAAGCTCGCAGGCTTCTTTCAGATCATCTTAGGCTTCGGCAACTTCTCGTTTTCGATGGCCAAAACAATCGATGTCGGCTGGGATGTGGGTATTCGTGAACAAGTACCTGAAGCCCCTGCTGACCACCACAGATAATTATCGGCCGCGGCGGTCAGGCGCTCCTTGCCGCTATCGCATTCACCGTCTACTCGAAGGCTCTGGTACGATCCATGGAGTCGTCTCCGGTATCTTATGGCACCTTCGAAGCCGTTACTCTACAAAGCGGCTCGCTTAGCGCTAATTTCAAGCTAGCAAGGGATCTCTTCAAGAACAAGACTGCTCAGGCTAGGGCAGCTGTTGTGTGGATGATCATCAGTGCTTGCTTTGTCCTGGCCTTCCCATCGATCTTGAGCGCAATAACTGGTTACTCCGTGAACATTGGGTCTTTTGTGGAAGTCGACGACGGCAGCCTGGTGCAGTACAGTAATTTCGCCATGGTCAGGTACATCGTCCATGATGCGCACAGAATCGACGAAGCACTCGGAAAGGACTACCAGGTGACAACAAGCAGGAGTGGTGGTTATGGAGACATCTCCCAGTTAAAGTGGTCCGCGGATGCAGATTATTGCCTCGGTAACGCGTGGCCCGTAGAGACTCGCAATGGCACTTTGGACTGGTCAGCCACCGCCGACGAGCCCATGTGCGATCTCTACTGGCATGTCTCCGAGTATGCCTACCACTACGGTTTCTTAGGTGAGGTCCACGCGGATACCACGTTCAATTACAGTGGGCAACTTGTCAATCTGACTGAACCGAGCCTGCTCATCACCCCCATCTTCTGGGACGAATATTGGATCAGGCAGGGCAACTCAAACGGGACCGACTGGTGGTACTGGCCCTTTGGCTATTACTGGAAGAGCGCAAATGGCACCGAACCCTTCCACAATTTCACCGATCCAGTCTTCACAAACAGACAGTTCACGTACAAACTCGACGAGCTGAACGTTCGCGGTCGTTGTCAGCCAGAGGGTGAAAGCTATAAGTGGGGGTTCTCCTTCCTGGCCCTCTTCTCCTTCATCGTCGTCTTCCTGGCCTGGTCTGTGGGCATGTATGCCCTGTGGCTGGATGCGTTCCTGCACTCACGTTTCGACCGGGTTGGACGGTCGATGGGCCTGCAGCGCGCGGTCCTTGACCTCGCCTATTGCATGCAGAGAGACGTGGACGAGACCGGCCGCGACATGCTCTCAAACGCCGAACTTCAGAAGTGCATCCGTCAAGACCTCAAGGGCGGGCGCATCACGTACGAAATGCTCGACCCCAAACTACTTCCGCTGTCTCGTGCCGCCGAGTGGCGTCTCAAGTGGCGTCTCAAGTGGCGAGTGAGCATCCGGGATTGGCTGCTTAGGAGGAACAAGTGGATGTGCGCGCTCTTTGTCGGATCTTTGGTCTTCCTCTCTACTGCCTGGGCTGGGATGCACCCACTGTCGTTTACGGCGGCGCTTCTCGTATTGGGATCCGCTACAGTCGTGCTCATGGACGAGGGTCACAAGAGTCGGTGGCTGATCTTCCTTGTGTGTCTCGTTCTTGCCGTTGTGCTGGCCGCGGTGGGAGTATAATCGGACAAGAGGCATTACTCGCTCGTTTTGATGCAGCGTGATCCTCACCACACGCGTCCTGGTGGTCCAACCACTGAACTGCGCAGACCGGACGTGCACAGCCAATCTGAACTTGAATATTGTTCAACAGCGAAGTCTCGGGAATGGAAAGCCTGGCACGGCATGGGACGAGCAATCCGAAGCAAGCTAGCGAGTACGATCAAGAAACCATGGAGGGCGCATGATAAGATAGCCGCGCCACTGCCGGAAAGAGCCAGCCCGAGACAGCTGCTGGGTGCTGCAGTTTCTACTCTCAGGCTGGGCATTTGTTTACCGTTTTCCTGCCACCAGCCTGGGATTCGCGCACCAGTCGCCGACGGTCTCAACACCAGCCATTGCTGTTGAACATCTCTTTGAGTACATCTCCAGTCCATCCCGTTCGGCCAGAGCGGGCGAAGTCAATTGAGATTTGGACAAGAATATGAGGTTGCAAGAGCAGGACGTGAGGAAAAGCCAAGGTCCGACCACGTGGCCGAATAGTCAAGGGTCTGTGGTTGTGTCGGACGCAGCGGTTGAGTACCACCACCTACTGCACTCCATGCTGGAGAACAAGTTACGATCACAGTACACGGGCAGACGGAAGGAGATAAGTCGGCAAGAATGCTGTGTGTGAGGCATGTAAGTCTTGACGTGGGCTTCTTGATTCTTGACGGCGACGTATGTCTGGGAGGTGAATATCAACAAAGCCAGCTCCTCGGCCGATCAGATCGTTGGAACCTTTGACGAAATCACACTCCTGCCTGTTCGTTTTCCCTACCCATAACGGGCATTTTCAATCTCATCGTCAAACCACGTCGGAGGAACCCCATAATTGAAGACAGTACTCTTGACCTTTGTGTAACTCTCATACGCTTCCACGCCGTTCTCCTTGCCCATGCCACTCTCCTTGAAGCCGCCCCAGGGGGACGAAGGATCGTTGAGGTGATGGCCATTGACCCAGACAATGCCAGCGTCAATTTTCTCCGCCACGCGGTGCGCTTGCGCAAAGTCGTTCGTCCAGACCGAAGCACCCAGCGCAAAGGAGGTTTCATTGGCGATCTTGATGATATGCTCTTCGGACTCACACCGGATAAGCGCGATGACAGGACCAAAGACCTCGTTGCACGACAGGTCAGACGCGGCGTGAGTCTCAATGACGGTGGGCTCGAAAAAGAATCCCTTCCCACCGACCTTGGTTGGGCGGCCACCACAGAGGACCTTGCCTCCTTCCGTGACCGCACGGTCCACAAACGCCGCGCACCTCTCCACCGCCGCTTGCGATATGACGGCGCCGATCTGTGTGCGGCCGTCGGTGGGATCACCCACGCGCAGCGCCTCGACGCGGCTGACCAACAAGTCGACGAACCGCTCATACACCTCGGCATGCACGAGCAGTCGACTGCCCGTGACGCACGTCTGGCCGCTGGCGATAAAACTGGCAAACAAGGCGGCCTTGACGGCCTGCGCGACGTCCAGCGACGGGAACACACACACGGGCGCTTTCCCGCCCAATTCCGCCGTCACGGGGATCATGTGTTCGGCGGCCCGCGGCGCAATGGCCCGATAGGTGGCCATGCCGCCGGTCAAATCGATCTTTGCCAGCAGCGGGCTCTCGCAGAGAAATTTGCCCGTCTCGCGCCCGTGGCCGCACACGACCTGCAACGTCCCGTCCGGGAGTCCCGCCTCCTGGAAGAGGAAGCCCAGACGGAGCACGGACAGGGGCGCCATCTCCGAGGGCTTCACGACGACGACGTTCCCCGCGGCGAGCGCGGCCGCGATCTTCTTGGTCGCGATCAACAGCGGGTGGTTCCACGGCGTGATCTGGGCGACCACGCCCAGGGGCAGGCGGGTGAGGGTGTTGACCACGGGGCCCTTGAAGGGCGGCACGCGGCCCTCGTGCGTCCGCGCCAGGCTGGCGAAATATTCGAGCCACTCCGGGATGCGGGCGAGCTGGGCGCGCATCTCGCGCACGGGCCGCCCGGTCTGCTGCGTCTCGAGGTCGACGAACTCGGGGATGCGAGACCGGAGGAGCGTTGCCGCTCGGGAGAGCACGGCGAATCGCGTCAAGGCGTCGCACTGCGACCAGGCGCCGTGCTGGAACGTGTGCACCGACTGCGCGAGGATGGCGTCGACGGTTTCGCGTGGCGTGGCGTCGATGGTGGCGAGCGGGGTTTCTGTCGCTGGGTTGATGACTTGGACGCGCTGCTGCGCTGGGGCGGTGTGGGCGCCGTTGATCCAGTTGGACACGTGGGGGATAGTCGTCATTTTGGATGAATACTGTACTGTTCTTCCTGTTGTTGCTTGGGTCGTGGCCTTTGTTCCAGGATCATTCCAATCACCCAAACCCTATCGACTGCTATTGCGATGAGGATCCGAACATGGCACTGTACTGTATTCTTCGGGTGTTCCCTCTGTGGCGCGAGGCTCTTGTTTGAATACCTGCACTGGTGTTGAATAATGTCTGTCCCCGGCGCGGGAGTCGAGTAGGTCGTTGGATGGGTTGTGCGTTGGATTGTGTCCACAGAGTAATTAGTGATAGGCCATACGAAGTGTACGTTGTGACACTGTATGCCAAGACCGATGGGCCGCTTTAGCGCGCTATAAAACGAGCTTGGCGGGGATTCATTCTTGCTTGGCGGAAACTTCACCACTCACTCACTCACCTTTCAGTATGTAGACTGACTCGTCTCCGAGATAAACCTCAGAGAGACCATCCTATGCGTGGACAACACTTCTTTCATGTTTTACAGTTGACTGCGCGCCTGCACGTCTGTACATTAGGTGAAGATGTCGAGATTTCCCAGCGTCGTTCATCCACACGGGTTCAGTCCTTCAGAGGACGGTGTGGATTTTCAAGTGCTCTGCTCCGGGTATCGCAGTCAGACCACCCATCTTGTTCGGCCCGGCGATGAATACAGAGTACGTCTGTTGACCTGTCTTTGCATGCGTCGCTCGCTCTATCGCGCATGTCTCAATTCTATGATCTATCCACCCTCATACACATGACCTCTCATTCCTTCTCAACAGCGAGAATCCCAAAGTCCGGGTACTTCAGCCACTCATCGAGATACCCCTTCGGGATCGGCTCCTTCATATACCCATTCAACACCTCCTGATCCTCAGGCACGGTGATCTCCTCCCACGTCAACTTCCCCTCCAACCCACCGTCCCGGGCAGCCTGCTCGTGCACGCGCATCGAGAGGTAGTAGTTCCCAAACTCGACCGGCGGGTCCGTGTCGAACTTCAGCTCGACCAAATAGCCCTTGTACGCACCGGGGAGTTCCTCGCGCAGCTCGACGCGATACCCGTACCCCTGCTCGTACTGCGCATTGACATGGTCGATACAGATTTTCGGATCCTCCTCCGGGTGGGGCAGCACCGTGACAAACCTCCCACCAGGGGCCAAGTGTCTGGCGATGTTCTTGAACATCTCCGTCATGGTCGGCAGGTCGGGCGCGTAGTTTAACAGCCACGCCGCGAAGACGAGGTCGAACTGCCCTTCCAGCGAGGTGGCCCCGTCTTCGCTCGTGACGGTGAAGGGAGTCGCACAGTCGGCCACCATGAACCTGTACTTGCCTTGATGCCGGCTTTGGTGTTGCAGTTCTGACTGCGCGCCAGTGATCATGGCCTGCGACACGTCCACGCCGACAATACTCGACGCGCCCCAGTCGAGCAGGTGGCGCGTGAAGAACCCCGTTCCGCACGCCAGTTCCAGGACCCGCGCTCCTTGGATGTGCGGTCCCACCAGCCGTTCCACGTTCGGCACAATTGCGCGGGTGATCGGCAGGTCGTTGACGCTGTCGTAGGCGCCTGAAAAGCTGTCATATTGGGTTGTGGAAAAGTGTGACATTTTGATACGGCGGCGCTTTTGAGAGGTGTGATAATTAGTCTGCCGTAGAGTGTGCGAAGCGTTGTACGGGCGTAATTAATTAAAACGTGGTTGATATGAAGATGAAGGGTGGAAGCCGACCCACGATTTTGGGAAAGGCGACCTATCACGCCTCGCCTCGGGTCGAACATGCGTCGCACGAGGATGAGGTGCGGACTTGCCCGACCGTCTGAACACGGCATGGCGTTGAGAAATCCAATGGAGTCATTAGAGCAGGCAGTCTACCGCTAGCTATGGACACCGAGCGTTGAGACTGCTCTTACTATTTCAGCACGACAGCAATGTCCTTCCGTCTCGCCTGTGGACGTGACTTCGACAGGTCTGTGCAGTCCCCCCATGAGGGCAGAGGCGTACAGCAGAAAGCATGGGGAAGAAACCAGCGCGTGCACAAGGTATCCTTTTCGTCACCAAAGCTCGCCTATGCCCACGATGCCCCGACCCGTAGTCGGTGGCCATGCGAAACCCCCCAACATCAGGCCCTTGCAGCGATGTATTCTTTGATGTTGGGACGCTCAGAGACGGCCTTCCGCAAAGCCTTGAGCGTCTCTGGGACCGACGCCTTTAGTGAGACAAATTAGCAAAGAATAACCTCAACTCACGACCATCAAACGTACAGGAGCGGCGCCAACCGCTTCGTCATTGTCCAACGCCTGGAAGACCGCGAAGTCGACGTATGTAACCTGGTTGCCCAAGAGATACGGACCGGCGTTCCTGGAGTAGAGCTTGTCCCAGATCGAGTAGAAGTAGGGAACGGTCTCGGATTTGTAGTTGGGTGCCTTCCCGGAGAGATTCGCAACCCATTTCTCCTGTCGAAGCATCAGCCACCATAACCAGTCCCCGATTCGGAATGCTTGGGGACCACGGACCCGCCAATCGACATAGATGTCGGACACCGCATCAACCAGCCACTTGTCATAGTTGGAGGTGCCGTCATACCCTCCAACGGAACGCGACAGGTACCTCAGGATGGGAATATGCTGCACACGTTACACAAGTCAGGCGCGTTATTCAAAAGTGGCTACCTGGCCAGACCAGACAGCAGAGCAAGCACAAGCCCGTACCTGCGACAAGATATGACCGTCAATATCTAGCACGGGTAACTTCCCCGTAAGACTCAACCCCTTCTGCTGCAATTCCTTGCCCAGCGGTTGCCATGTCTCGTCGTAGGCGTAGCGCTTGTCCTCAAAGTCGATGCCGAGTTCCCTGAGGAACACACTGAGGCTTGATCAGCCGTTGTTGGGCTCAGGGAGGGCATCCTGGTGTTACAGCAGGGTCTTACCGAACCACTTCTCCTCTGCCTTTGCTTCCGAGGTCGAAGTAGTAGAGGATGGGTTTCTTCGTGGCGGCGGCCATTTCTCGTGATGTTCCTGTTCCAAAGTAAAGTCACGGATGGAGGACATACCTTTCATAGCAGAGACACAGGTGCGCTCTATATAAGTTACTCCGTAGCAAGGCTCGCATCGGAGGAATTGTTTGACCGCCCTCTATTTCAGCCCGTTGATTACCTCAACCAGCACCCATCCTCTGCAGCCCAGATGCTTGGATGTCGGGGACCATGTACGCTCGCGCGACACTGCCGCCAATCAAAGTCGGAGCGACCATGCTGCTTCGAAGGGTGTTAAAGCGGCGCGTACGTCTGGTCGCTTATTTGTCATTTCTAGGGAACCTTTGGGGGCTCAAGATCTGGGCCCGCCTGAAATAGGGCGCTATTCCGCCGGTCGTTCGATGTCGTAGCCTTTCCTGGGTCTCGCGACCCAGCGCTAGGCGTTTGATTAGGAATCATGGGATCCACGTCGAGCGAAGGTACATTCTTTGGCTGTGCGGAATACGAACTATGAATGTCTGTTTCCCTGTTCGTGCCTGTTGTAGTCGTGCCTACATCCATCTCGGGAAGAGAAGTGAAAAGGCGGCAGTGTAGGGCACTAAAGCGGCGCAGGCATTTCCAGGCAAGTTGGCTGGGCATCTGACGCAATAAATCGAATGCTTCGATATTTCCTCTTCGGAGCATCAACTTGCATTCTGAACCGTTGCAAAAGGATGATACTGTATCCCTTGCGCAGCGGCTACTCATGGGTAATCTTGGCGATGCTCTGGTTCTGGCTCGGGACAGATTCTCAATAATCTTGACGATGCTGATGTTTTGGATCCAAACAGATTCTCAGACACGACAAAGCTGATTCACGTCGAGAATACAGTCCTTGTGCAAGTCCGTCACGGTGCGACATCCTGATATGCTTTCGAAACTTGCAGAAACTGCAAAATTGTGCCGCGATGCATATGCTTCGACCCAGCTGCTTACCTCCTACCCGCTCCGTAACTGGAAATATGCCCCGTCTCGATCCAGCTTTCCTTCAGCTGACCTTCGGGACGACTCGACCTCCTAAGATCTGTATCGTAGACACTTGTCAAAGTCCGCAAACGCGCCCTTGGTCAAGAACAGCTACGGCTACGGCTGCGGGATGAGCACAAGATCCTAGGCACCTACTAATCAGAGCGCAACCTGGGTTCACTTACATGTACCAGACCCCTTCGCCGTGAAATTGAGGGCTTCCTCGACATCCTTCATTGTATCAACGATGCTTTCCACAGTTTTCAACTCATTCAGCACTATACTGTGCAGCTCCAGCTTTGACCGAAGCATCATGCCGCAGCCCGACAATACTGTAACTATGGTCCTTTGGGGGGCAGAGGTGAAGGAGCAGTCTCATAATGTATGCTTCTTTGGTGAATGCCGTGACTACAACGCCGTGGACTCCGTACCTAGGAACGCGCTTGACCTCCGCACAATACATATTATGTCTGGTGCCTGAAAGTCAATGAACTTTTCGGCTCCAAGGCCTTCACACAACTCTCGTTTGGCCGCTCGCATACCCTACCTACGGCCTGTCAGTTGGCGCCGCATTGGTCGACAGGTCTTGCAGGATATGGGGCCCATTGCCTAAGCCAGCGATACTGCATGGCTAGATGTCCAGGGCCTCCGCCAGAACCAAGCACGGCAACCCACCGGTCTGCTCGTACTCCGCTTCTTTGGCAGGGCCAATAGGCTTTCACACCTCCGCACATGGTTGGCGCCGCTTCTTCATCGCTCACTCCATCAGGCATCCTGGTTGTGTACCTCCATCACTCACTGCATACTACTGGAAAGTTCGAAGGCATGAACACCAGAGTCCTTCTGGCTTGTGACAATGCAACTCCTCCCCCGGCCATTGGCACAGAATTCACATTCTCCACAGATGCCCCAGATCCGCTTGATCTGCCCAGTCGCAAACCTTCCACTTTTGGTGCCCTGACTCGGTGATGAACGCGTTGTCGGAACCGCAGAGACTAGGTCCGATCTCACGTTTAGCATACGATTACGGAGGCGTGCACACAACGGAGTTGCCACGCTAGTAGCGGAATGACAGTATTTTAAAAGACAGGCCTATTTCTATTAGTTGTCCCTAGCAACCGCCCCTAATTATTTTAGATCTAGGTAGCGAGCACCTATAGTGACCCCGAAAGACTTCTCTAGCTAGTAATAGCTTTAGGCGTACTTTAGGCACTGAGCCCCTAGAGGATGGTGAGATGACCAGAAACTCCGCTGTCATTCTACTAGTAGCTATCATTTTGATTAGCGCGGCAACGCCTTTATGTTACAGACCGACCTTCATGCGACCTACCGCATAGCCGGGGAACATTCAGGCAAGGAAGGTGGAGCGGGACAAGTCAGCCTCGTCGGCAAGGCTGACTAGGGTCACGTGACTTCCGGAAAAGGGAATGGTCGCTGTACCGGCTGCACTATTATAATACAGCGAGTGCAGTAGTATAACGCCTAGACCTACCTAGATAGGAAACCTACTTATATATATAGGCACAGCCAGGGCCACTCCTATAGCACTATAGTTAACTTTGTTAATACTTTAACCCCTACCTTTAGACTAAGAGTGTTATTCTACTATTACGCCGTTATAAGTGACCGCGTACCCTTTACCCTCAGTAGATATACAGTTGTTACTCTATATAAGTAAACCTACTTAGACCGTAGACCGCCTTACGTAGAGCGATTTATAATATATAAGAATATATACGCTTATTATTAAATAGTTTAGTTATACTCCTTTATAGTTAACTTATATTATCTACTTATACCTACCTTTAAGTATCTTATTATATTTAGCCGCCTACTATACCCTACCCCGTGTTGTATCCTCTACACCCCTACTAAGAGTATTGTAACTGGAGACCTAACCCTTATTGGTTAGTCGAAAGGAGTAGCGCTGACAACTCCCTTTATATCGATGGGCCTAAGCCGGCCAGTACGGTTAACGGACCGAAGATAGTGTTTGACCAGTGGCTTCCTCCCCTGATGGACGTGGACGCGGTTCTAGAGATTGACTTCGCCGATAGGCAGGAATTCGACTTCCTCAGCTCGGCATATTTTCTCCCACAGCACGCCGGGCTGGACGAAAGCAATGAGAGCAGTGCCACTAGTGATGTTGGGGAGGGCTCTTACAGTCCTCGAGGTGAAAGCTTCTCTGAGCCTTTCTCTAGTCTCGATCTCGGTATGTCGGAGTTGTTGACACTCGCAACACCAAATTTAGAAGACTGGAACGCCGCCTCTCACGACGTCAGCTTTTTCGAGTCGTCTTGTTCATGCCTCGTGCAAACAGCCAATTATTTCACCAGATTGTCGCAGTTGGCTACTACTGTCTGTACAACGTTTGCCCGCGTCGATCTCGATAAGGCCACGACGCTTCGACTGGCCCTGAACGTGGCCGAGCAGAACAAGGCCACAATCGGTGCTGTGACCATCATCTTGCAGTGTCCCAACAACCATGACGGGTGCCTTCTCGCACTCGTCTCCTTCATCGTGTTCAAGATGCTCAGCTTGTACGCTGCGGTTGCATGTAAGGAGCCTAATGTACACAATCTACTTCCAGCACCAGCCTCTCCGACTGCGTTACCAGAGCCTGTGCTCCCGGGTCAAGGCGTCCTAGACTGTTACCCTGTGGCGAGAAATGACGATCCTCGGCAGATGCATGGACGAATTGTGCTCGGTGAGCTCCGACGCGTCCGCTACCTGATCGTGCAGCTGGTGGAAAAACTCAACTCTCAGTCGGTCACACAAGGGGTAGTGGAAGGAACACAATCGCAGGAGAGCATGGACTTGGACACGGAGATGAGAGTTCCGCTTTCCCGTGTCACGTACCAGCAGCTGGATCTGGATCTCCGACGACGGCTGAAGGCTGTGTCGTGGGACATCGTGGATCGAATGACTCGACTCTGAATAATCGCTGTTGATTGGCGCTCGTTCTCCGGAAGTGTGAGTGCTCAAGACTAAAAGTGATGGCTCCTGGTGTGCAGCTCTGTTGCAAGAAGCGTTTTGGCGAGAATCCCGAAGCGATTTTACTCGTCTGATAGGCGTTAGGGCCTCCAGATGCGAACAGTTTCTGCACCATCAACTCGATTCTAAGCTGGTTAGGCCCTGCCCCACATGGAGGCACGATATACAGGCGAGTAACAATTTTCTCGTGGGAACAATTTATCAATCAGACGGTGCTCCACCATGACTTCCGTGGGTACGTAATACAGTTAGCCGCTGATTGATCCGCCGAAGTAGTTTAGACTCTTCGGCGGCATAGAGCAAGATACCTCGTGGAAGGATGTCTCAACGACGCCATATCGTGCACTAACGCTAAACAAGACGTGACCTGTACAGCTGTTGAATCCCATCCAGTTGATATCCTCGTTCGAAATCCCCTTCTCTGGCACTAGAAGCCTATGGCACACCAATCTCAGAGACCAGTACCTTGAGGAAAGCGTGCTGGAACGGGAGATGGAGGCTCGTAGTCTACGGGTGCACCACTTCGCAGAATATCCATAGTGGCACAACTAGTACTCCCAGTGTATTCCGCCTACCAGACAAAAAGATCCAATTCATTCGCCTTGAAAGCCATGCAAACAAATATCTCATGCACCAAATCAAAGTAAAACTGACGCGCCTGGCTTGTGTTGCGCTTGCCCTTTGATGCTAATGACTTGAGCCCGTGAAGTACAGTACTCAAAGGGGCAATAAGTGACGGTTTGAGGACTAGTCGTCAGCGAGCTGCAGGTTATTGACTTCAGCCACCTCCGACGTCGCCTAGAGCTGCTTGAGCGGTCAGGTCGACGGGCATTCACGTTCCTTATCTCATTCCGAGCTCCACGGCGTTATGTGCCTGAGTCCGTACTTAGTCAATTTTGCTGGTGTCTCAGTCAGCGAACATCTTCGGTGCATGGATTGTCCCATCCGCTTATTTTTCCAGGACCTGAAACGCTCTAAAAAGAAAATCTATTGTCCAGTCCGCAGCTTCCGACATTCCTGATGCCGTCTGACGAGCCCTGACTGTCCGCTGAACGACCGAGCTGCGCGGCCCTTTGTCTGGAAACCGAACCGCCAACCGTCAATATGACATCAGGAGTAGTTTTCACGTATCGCCTCCAAGCGACAACAATCCTAACTACATGCCTACAACGCCCAAAACCAGGAAGCTAAATTTCAGCAGCATAGCCGACAAGGGTGTCTCGATCATGTCAGAAGCCCCCAGCAAATTCCAACGAGCTTTCAACCGTAACAGATCTCCTTCCCCCCTCCCGCAATCAGCATGGCCAGATGTTTTGCGACCACGTTGATTGTCACACAAAGCGCAAACCTTCAATCGAGTCTGCCAATGGGACAAGCACATTGACCGGAATGAGAGACTGTACAAGTGTCATGAAGCAGGCTGTGAGCCTTCACCTACTCGAGCGGGCTCCTGAGGCACCAGCGTGAAGTGCACAAGATGCACCCGTTGACACGCAGCCGCTCTTCTGTCCATTCGCCAGCAGCAATAGAAGCTCCGCAACGGGTTCACTAGAAAGCAGAATATGGAAGAGCACAGACGTCGGCGACACATCGACGAGCTCTTGACCAGGGGCCTAGCCAGGCGATGGCCCAGCCAGTCGTGTCCTCCTTGCCGATAGCAACACAAGAGCCTCCTGCGAAACACCAGCGGATCTCATCGGTGGCAGACGCGCAGCACTAAAAGCAGCAACAGCAGCAGCCGCATTCATAGCTAGGCAGCACTATGGCACAAGCCGTGGACAGAATTACAACAGTTTCGTTCCGCTGACTTCTAAAGCGATCAAGAAGGTCGCTGGCGGAGTTATATGTGAAGAGCAATATTCTAGTGCTGTTCAAACTATATATGACATGTGAAGAACGCGTGTAGATGTTTGTTCTACTCTTGTTTCGAGAATATTATGGTTTCCATGTCTTCCTGGCCCGAATCATGCAGCTTTTCGCCTCTATTTTGGCACACACGAACCATGTACAGTAGGCATACGTATCAGGCTAACGAGTCCCTCTACTCAGCATTCCTGGCGACATTCAGAGCTCCACTGACTCGCCTCAGCTTCCGCATTTCTGTAGGCTTACCAATTTCCTCACTCACCTTGCGTACAGTACTCCTCGGCGATATCGGGAACTGTCACGGCAAGACTCACATGGTCATCTTCTATTAGCAGCGCGTGCAGGTGGACTTACGAGCTACAAACCACAGTTTCCCTGGCTCGAGATGGTCCTTTGAGCAGGGTTTGAATACACGGAGGCTCCACCGTCACATCTCATCCATGGGTGACGGGTTTGGGTGCGAAATTCCTCAAGTCGTTCCCCTAGCTATCTAGATCTCCTCTTATTTCTCATCTTACTACCAAACTTCAGTTGGCCTCCATTGATTCTCGTACAGGCCATCATACAGGGCAATCACCATGGCCCCTAAGATCACCATCATTTGCGTACGTCTCCTGTTGTTATCGATCATTGTCTCTTCTATTCCTCTGGGACCGAAGATGTTTATTAAGTGCTAAATACGCCGAGCTTTGGCTGAACCCTTGAGACGACTCATCCTCTTCCTTTGTAGCCCGCCATCCTCGCCCTATTCCCCTCGATGGTCTCATGCACCGCACAACCCTCGCTCAAGGCCAGAAACAGTCCCCTTTCACAGTCATTAACGATCCATCCAAACCCGGGACAACAACTGGGGCCGTTTGACTGCACTACATGGACGAGGGCATCTCGAGGACCTGGCGGGATGGTTCATCTGGATTTCCTCACTCTGCATTGATAGAGCAGATCTTGTCCGGTATGTTAGGGTGTTTAGAAACACAACTCTTATTCTTAAAAGTCGAGCTCAAAAGCCTTAAGGTGTTCCAAAAGGTACAGGAGCTCCCTGACACGTCGTGTTTGTAGGGGCCACCCTGCCATCCTGCAAGTAAGCCTGGACGTGCTCGAACACCCAAGGAGATCCACCATTCCCTCCGACGGTATGCCGGTAGATCTTCGTCAGTGACTGTTTCAGGTAGTCGCTGTGCAGGACCGGATAGCATCTCACTCCAATGCCCTCTCGGATGCGAACAGCAGAGCCTGCAACGCTCTGGACACTTGAACGCTCTACACTACACCAATCATAATCAGCAAAGTGTCATCAAGGAGTGGGAAGGGCTAGTCAGCTCTGGTGCATACCCTCGTATTAGACTGACTGGGTCCAATGTGTTGCTGAGCAAGAGCAGTGGGGACCTTGTGTGATTGCTGGACGAGTGGAGGGGACCTGAAGGTTCTTGTCAGTACTGACCGCAGGGACAGAGAATCATCACAGACCAGGGAAACTACCCCTTCTGGAGAAATCCAAGTCGAGGAATCGGCAGAGAACGAGAGCAGCATTAGTCAACCAAGTGTCTCCTAACAGCTTGCTTTGTGCCGTCTGGATGTTGACCCAACCTTGAAACTCGTCGATGCTCGTGGTTTTATAATTGCCGTAGAAGTCAACGCACTTTATCCGCGTGGCCGCATCCGCACCCCACAGATAGTTCACTGCTATGGTCGTAATGAGTGAATCGTTGCCGCTTTCAAAGACCGTAAGAGCAGCCGCTAGTACCGGAAATCGTGTCAGAGGAGAATACAATGCGAAAAGCATCGTTTGCTTGAGGCCTGAATACGCCGCCAGACCAATTGTCGTTCCGTCCTGCTGGATGCCAGTTACCGATACAGGCTGCTGCTTGAGCTCCATGAGCAGACTGTCAACACGATCTGTGATGATTCGCTCCGAAGGCGCCCAGAATGAGCAGTTCTCCTGGCTACCTTCATAGCAATACTTTGAAAATGTGAGGAACACGGCATCCGCATCAAACCGGTACACATTCCACGACCCTTCGTAGTAGTTTTGAGCATCAACTACACCGTCGAGGATACCTCGACCGACGTTCATGGGGAACATCGACGCGAATATGGCTCCAAGAACCGATCCGTAGCTCCGTCCGTAGTACCAAAATTTCGCATTATCCTCAGGCTTACCTGCTCAGGGCTGTTCTGCTTTAGCGAATGAAAAGATATCGTGAGCCACGTATGGGGTGTCCATATACACTCCGTGTTTATCCCCATTGCCGAAAGCGTTGCTGCACCATTGACCGAACAAGCTCGAGGATGAGAGCTGTGTTTCCAAGGATGTAGAAGAAGCATCCCTTGCTCAGTCGTGCTCAGCTTACTCAGAGTGATCAGTACTGAGCAGGCCTGGGCATACTGATCATGATTATTACGTGACTTTGGGAGCACTGGACGAAGCGTATCGTGAGGGAAGGTTCAAAAGATTTGGAGTGTCTAATTATTCGGCTGCCGAGGTGACAGAATTCCTGTCAATCTGCGAAAGGCGATGCTTTCTCATACCTAGTGTCTGTCAATACAACCCGGTTGCACGAAACGGTGAGAACGAGTTGTTCCCCGTGCTGACAAAACACGGAGTGGCTCTTTACGGTTGCAGGTAAGAGGCTGGTTGGCTTTGCTCTTTCTCTGAAGTCGTATTTCTGCTAGGCTCACGTGTGGACGATCCTCTACTACAGCCCGGCGGCAGGAGGCTTCTTTACTGGAAACTATGGAAATGATAGCCGGGTGGCCGCTTTGACACAAAAATTAATCCGGCTGCTCAGCCTTGGACTTCCGAACCATACCGGCTGTTTTGGACCGCGGCGCCGTAAAAATCTGCCCTTTTACGGCGATGAGAAGTAAATCGCAAGGTTCCGGTGGAAATGCAAGTGCGCGTAGACGTGAAAGAGGCACGCGGCCGGCTATCCAGCTCAAACAGCCCGCAGCCGCTACCCTGGATATTATATAGTCCACGCTTTCTACAACGAGGGGAAGAAACTTACCCCTTTCACATAGCGAAATTGGTGATGATGAAGACAATGGAAACGACGGAGATGACGAGGATGCAAACAGCTTCCACTATAATGATAGCTCTTCGCCAAGCATAGGCAGGTAGTGTGACTTCGAGCACAGACTCTACAGTGTCTGCGTGAGCATATAAGCTTTTAGGAGCGCCAAGAATGTGGTGAGTGTGAGTGTGTGACACTAGGCGTGTTCGCGTGACGCCCCGTGAACAATGCGCTAGCCTCTGTCAGACGAGCCCAACTTCCGTTGTTACCAGATTCGGAACCTCTGTCTCCATAGAGGAAAAATTGTGGCTCAATCTCTCCTTCAGTTATATCCATGTAGGTGCCCTGGCGACAATCCATGGGGCAGAAAGAGGAGAATGTGCCAAATTATTTGACTGACATTGTTTCGTCGCTGGGTTGGTGGCCTTGCGCCAGAAATATGAGTATGTGGTATCCTATCTACTTGATTCGAAGGCGTGCAAAACGCAGACATACATGATCCGATATGCAAAGCAAAGGGTGCTTCTTCCCCAGATCAAACCACCGAAGTACTCTACCTACTTCTTTTCCCATTGGCTGGTGCCAGCGACGTCGGCTTCCTGCATGCGCCCTTGTCATCTACTTATCTAATTCGGATCAGGTTTCCTTAGGTTTGGATTCCACAAGTGAAGCAAAGTTTCAACATATCTGTACGGTTCGCTAGTTGCCGTAATATATACCCTCAAAAGCGCTAGACATCTTTTCAGTTCTCATCCGACTCCAAAACGGTCGATAATCATCGGAACTCACACAATTTCTAAGCGAGTGTCACAATGAATATAAGGCGTCCTACTGGGGGCTGAAGAGGGCTTCCACAGGCCACTATGCAGGGTGATCAAAAAAGCCAATGATCCTCACGGACGTTGGGAAGCAAAATTGTACCTCGTTGTTCGATCTTCTGGCCCGTTTTACGAACATACTTCAAACGCCACCGCACTCTGGCCACCAGCAAGGCAGACTGTGGTAACGCTTCTACGTACTTGCCTCTCCAAGCAAACTCTTACCTGGCCTATTTCTATCTGTAAAGGTTAAGCTGCAGAGATATAATGCCAAGCAGCTTACTTTGCCACGCCTTAGAGATGTACAGATCCTGGCTAAGATGCCCAAACTGTCTTGGGCTCAAGCTAGATTTTGATGCACCCAGTGATCTAATCGAAAGTACGCGGACGTTTAGTCCACCAATCGTTGGGAGTCCTCGATGGGTCGGCATCCAGCGCGAAAATGACGCCACTATCATCAAGTCCAAATTGACACGGATAACGAGCTCAGGATGGATCGAGCACGCATATCAAGAAGGTCAACTTCAACGCGAAATTCTGCAAGCTACAGATAGAGTTGACAAACTTGCCTGAGTCCTTTCTGGAGTAGTTGAAGCTGCAGAATGATGCGTTAACAGCCACCGATCCTCGGGCGCGGGTTGAGTTTACTATGTATTAACACATTCTGCAGTTGGTTCCCCACGGGGTGGTATCCATAGCTCATAAGGTTCAAAGCTCAAAATGTCTTCGAATGAGCCCGTTGGAGGTGCCGAGACACACCCCTACGAACGTTACGTCATGTTCACGGCACAAGCTCAAGCTACTGAACTCCCTGACATGTGGTGTGATCGGTGGCGAAGTGATCACCGACCTGCATTCTGCCTTGCGAGAGGCCGACATCGCGGCCGAATTCACTGAAAAAATGAAAGCAGACAGGCATAGAAACCTAGACCATCTAAAGACCTGGTCTTAGCTGAGCTAAGCTGAGTTGAGGGAACTAATCGTTGTGGTTCTCCTTGCCGATACGCTGGAGACGAATAGTCCAAGACGTCACCTCGATTAATTATCGACAAGGGTGCCAATTTAATTAAACAGAACGTTGATGGAACAATACCTTTCTACGAGTATTCTGCTGCTGCTGAGAATGCACGGCCATGTCGAAGTTTTCTTAGACCTAGCCAACCATTATTGGAAAACTATTTGAAGAGCTGTAACAACAACCCATACAGATATGATGCTGAATCCCGTCTCCCAATACCTTCATCGGTCGAAACATCTCTGGTCTCAGGCCAATGCCGCAAGTAGCGTTATATCCAAAGAGGGGTTCCAAAGGAATGATTCCACAATATATGAGCAGCCTTCATATCCACCACCGAGGATCAGTCTGAATCTGGCCTTGAATAGGATCGACAGCTCAGATCCAACCCCAGTCCAAACCCCCAGATTATTTCTCCATGCGTTTAGGGCGACTATCCAGACCCACAGGAGGCATTCCTCTTCGCATTTCTCGTCGTGGGTCGAGGTGCACTTGAGAAGTTCTGCCGTCAAGCCTCGGCGTGCGCTGGTCTTGGAAGCGCTCAGTGCCGATACAGGGCATAGGTCATTGCAGCAATAGACCAGGAGAGCCAGGCAGAGGAGCTTGCCGAGCGGGGCCTCGCTCCAGGGGTCATCTGGGCTGCCGAGCTCCGGACAGGCTTCTATGTAGTCGAAGTATTTCGCTGTGATTTCCAACTTGTAAGTGTTATAGTTGGGTGTTGTTTTGCTCTTGCCGAATGTGGCGTCGTTGACGATATTTGCTCTCTGGATGACTTCGATGACGTTTCGTGAGAGTTTTGCACCATGGATGAGATGTCGGAAGCCGCTTGGGAGCTCATCCAGGGCAGAAGCGTCAAGGTCTATGGCGTGTATTGGGTATGGGACTGGAGGTGCCTCTTGCAGGAATGAAATTTCGGTTCCTAATGAGGAAAGGTACTCAAACCGACACATATCTTTGAGCTATTGTTGTGCCAACACAATGCTATGGTTATTAAACACTTACTGTGAAATGAAAGCTCGCGCACAGCTGTTCAAGCTTGTTATTCCCCCTCGCTGTCGGATGAACCGGCTGATATTGCTCCTGTGTAGCAGGTTTGCCATTCTCTGCCCGCAACGTCCCTATATCGAGGCCGCAATCAGTTTCAGACCCCAAGGTGCGTCTGCTGCTGCTAACGAGATACTACTACCCACCTCACACAAGGCGAACAACATGATTGACATCAGGTTAATGTCACTGACTAGACGCTCTTCAGCTAGACTAGTCCGGAGTGCCGAGAGGGCTTTGGCCATGTATCTTCTCACCGATGGCGAATCGGCTGGGGTCGAATTTTGATCAACTGATTGTTCTTTGAGTGATCTCAAGTCGGCGGCGACACCTAGGAAGAAAGGGTCATGGTTCCAGTAATACAATGGGTCTTCATTCAAAGTATTCCTGACGTTGAAGACATCGAAGATGACTTTGTAACCTGGCCTGGCAAATGTAGCATCTATTTACAGTAAATTCAGACACCTGGATTTGCGGTTTTGAGACAAAAGAACTCACAGGTATCTCGTGTTTCGGAGTTGGCGTCGACAGGCAATCCCTTCGGTATTGCAGGCGGCCGCCGCCAAAATTTTCCAACGTCATTTCTTGCTACCAGCTTGAAGTGCTCGGAGATGTGCCCTGTGTTGTGATCCTCTTCGTCGCCTCCGTCTCGAACAGCCACTGGATCAGATTGCGCCGCAGTTCCAGCGTGATTGAGTTGAGGCCGGCATCGTGTTCTGCGTCTCAAATGAGAGATCCTTGCGGCATGGGCTCGCGCATCTGCTTGCAGCAGTTCAAAGTATCGGCTATTCTGCGGCCCTCGGTGTGAGAAGTCTTGATTGACGAGAAAGCGAAGTTCCATAATTACGAGGAAGGCAGGGTAGAGAAGTGGTTGAGTTGCAAGGCGTCCGTGGATGTCCCTTTAGGGTCCATCCATAAGGGGAAACGGTCCGCCTCGGCTCTGGCCTGGCTATTGCCTTATTAATAACCATTCATCACCCACGCGCTGGTGAAATTCCGCTGTCTGGCTCACGACGGCTGGCAACATAGCGCCCAAGTAAATGCACTGCTACCCTGTCTGAACGACTACAACTGGATGGTGCCGCTCCGCCCGCGACTCGTAGCAGCAGCTGCATCAGTTCCTGGCTCCACGGGACACGACCGTCCAATCGATCATGCCATGATGTTCCACGAAGTCTCAAATCGGAAGTCCAGGACCGGACGACCGTGTGGGTGAAAAGCACGGATCTTGACGCCATTGGTTGATGCAGTGAATTACAAATCTACAGTATGTGCAAGATTAGTAACCATCCCAACAATTCATCCCGACCGCCGCCAGAGTGAAATACTCTTCACCTCACCGACAACAATTCCTCTTATCCCATCCCATCTCAGCCAATCAGATCGTCTTCGGAAGTCCTCCACACAATTTCTCCGCCCATCATGTCCTCCCAGGTCCAGGCAGTCGTCCTTATAGACCCTTTGAACGATTTCCTCCATCCAAATGGCAAACTCTACCCTCGCGTCGAAGAGAGCCTGACCAAGACCAACACCATTGAGAATCTGCGCAGACTTTTGCACGGGGCGCGTAAGGCCGGTATCCCCATCTACTACGGCCTGCACCAGAAATACGTCGAGGGCAACTACAACGGCTGGAAGCATTTGAAGTCGGTCCACAAGCTGACGTTGGAGGCCCATCTTTTTGAGGGCTGGGGTGGCGATATCCTAGCAGGGTTGGAGCCGGTGCCCAGCAATGGAGATGTCGTCGCCACCAGGCACTTGAACAGCAAGTTCGTCTTGGAAACCTCTGCGGGGATGCCATCCACTAATAAATTCTCAGTTCGTTCAAAAACACCGATCTCGACTACCAATTGCGTCAAGGCGGCAGGGAGCATCTCATCTTCGTTGGTATGGCGACGAACACCTGCGTTGAAGCGACTGCTCGCGACGCTGCTGAATCGTAAGTCGTCGAGTTGCCGGCCGTCTGGTGCGAAATTGAATCCGGCGCTGACTGCAGTCTATGTAGGGGGTACAAGGTCACTTTAATGTAAGTCTCACAAATACATCTCCATGTGTACATCCGTTTCACTTCGCCTTGCCTAGTCCTTGTATCATTGATAATCGATATGGGCATTGACACCACGTTCTCGTCGACAGCACCGATGCCACGGCCGGCTTCAGCCAGGAACTAAAAGAAGCTGCGACAAATCTGACTTGGCCGACGCTATATATGGAAGAGGTCATCAGCACGGACGAATGGCTCGCGACTCTGGGCGAGAAGGCAGCGCTCTAGGTGCAAGTGAGCTTCGTCTAAGAGCAGTGCGATGGTTGACATAGGGACACCAAGACGTCGACTTAGGTCATAGGTAGCCGTGCCAGGATAACTGCCAATGTTGATATCGAGACGAATCTGCACCACGTTCGTTACCGATGAGTGGATCGCTCAGCGACATTTGATTCCGAATTGGAAGGAGTTTGAACGAATGGCATCAGAGACAGCGCATTGAGACAGGGAGCCGCACGATCGGTGATTAATCGCAACTAGGCATCGTAGACGGGACGGGTCCGTTCCTCCACCAGGCTCCAGTAATCCCGCTCACTCCCTCTGCCGCGACATGTGCCAACTTCTACCCCGGAAAGCTTGTTGAAGCAACCCAAGGGTGAAGACAGGAGGCAGTCGGCAGTACAAGGCTCGAAGGTGGGGAAACGCAACAACTGGTACGAAATCAAAAAATCGTAACAGTACCAGGAAGCGCACCACGTCCGTCGCTAAACTTGTTGGAGCGGCAAAACAAGCTTCAGCAAATTGAGATGCGGAAACATCATCATCGATAAAGTCTCCGCTCAAAGCCGCCACTGGTAAAGTAGCTGCAGCTGTCAAGGAAATCGAACTGGCCGTGGGGAAGGGGCTCGGGGAGCAAAGCCCAAAGCTTCAACAAGATGGCACACCTACGAGGAGAAGCCAGCGTGCAAATAAAGGTGTGATAACTTCGTTTGGATACAGCATTCCAAGTTAGAAGATAGATTTCCGGTTGTGCGTATGGTCTGGTTAAGAAGGACTCCGCTGGAAAGGGTAATGAACCTGGCTAGTATCGTCTAATTTCATTGTCTCCCAACGTAGAATATTCAAGGCCTTATCCTCTTCGCACCGATAGGTAACTCATTGTACGTCCAGAGACTGACGACGCGCAAGGTATCTCCGAAGAACCCTCAATGGCAACTGAGAAGCGAAAATACCTTCCAGGCAGCACTCCAAGTACGGCAGCGACTGCAGCATCAGTGAAACAATTGCACCGGCGGAGGCGCGACTGGTGTCTAGATCTTGGGACAAGACGCGCGCACGTGTTGTGGTATCTGGTGTAGAAGTCGGTATCCTCGAAACGACATTTTGGATGTCAATCAAGCTCATCAGCAGCTCCAGTATGATTCCCCAATACGACATCATTATGCCGGCTTTCTGGCCGTCTCGAAATCGGAGTTGATGCTCAGAATTGCTATGAATAGGCAGGCAATGGGTATCGACCACTGAGTAGGTACTGTCAAAAACATCGTCAGTCTCCCAGTAAATGGGAATCGGAGAGTGCGAGCTTTTGAACTGCTGTAGCCACTGGTCTAGCTCAGACTTTACCCCGTGGAGGCCACTCATGAGTGCCTCGGCGACAGCGAGCTGCGCAAGAACATCATTTGCTCGTGCCGGGACAGGGCCCTCGAAGTTTCCATCAGATTCGGGTCCTAGTGAAGCGAGGACTTCATCCGTCCTTGCTAAAAGTGCAGGAATCTGAAGTGCTATATCGTGCAATATTTCTATTCTAGTTTTTGGTCTAGAAAGAAATGGTGTGTAAATCCACTGAGGATGGGAAAGAAAATTCTCCCGTCTTTGCTCTAGAGCAATGAATATCTAACGAAGTTAAACTCATCAAACCTTAAGAATCAACAGAGCTCAGGGAAAAGCTTACTGAAATTCCTCGAAGTCCTATGTACAACTGAAGCCAAGCGGAGGATTGATATACCCCAGGCTCCATTAATTGGAGAAATTGAAGCATACCCTCGTAGTGGGTCAGGAAGGCTGGTCCAGTTTTGCCCATATCGTTGACTAGCTGGATTTGGAGGTTAGAGACAAACATGTAGAGATCAACAGCAGATGGCCGTACCTCAAAGAGCTGCAACGCCGTAGAAACGGCTAGGAACAGAAGGGAGAATCTTGACTGGTCATTGGCCTGACCAGCTGACGAGCTGAATCCGATAGCTAGACGAAACTCTCGGATGGCTGATGTATATGCCGAACGCGCAAGTTCTGCCATTCTCACATCTTTGACTAAACGGCCCATATACAGCGTCAGGAGACTGAAAAGCGCTTGGTCAACTTGCCGCTGTTCTGAGGAGTTGGCGAAAGGAAGTAAACCTCGGATACACAGCGCCACGCTTGAATAGTATCTTTCTACGGGTGGAATGGGGAGTCTATCACCACTGAAGACACCACTGAAGACGCCACTGAGGTGCGGTGGCTGGAATGCCTCCAGGACTGTTGAGTAGAACAATTCGGTCGGTTTGGCGCTCAGAGGTGCATTTGCTCTGAGGACGGAAATTTCCACGTCTCGGATGAGTTGTTGGAGGGAATCTGCAGAAAAGCCCAGCCCCTCTCCGGAAGTTGTATCTTTCTGAAGCATAGTACGGCCCCCATTCTGTGTGGCGCGACTTCGCATCGCCAGCCTAAGGGCGCTTCGGTGCGATAGTGTGTTGATATTGCGCGCATCTCGGAAGACATAAAGAGGGAACTTGTTGGGTCCGCTGCATCTGACGCCTCTAGAGACGCATCGATTGCATTCGGGTTCGCCAAGGTCACACTTAGACGGATAATTAGCTGCTCTGCGCAACCATCAGGAACATTAGCCTAGCGGGATACAGTACCTTTTTGCGGCGTCGACGACATTCATCGCAGCGACGTGAAGTACCCGGATGGCTTGAGGTGGCCATTGAGAGGAGGCATGGGGCGTCAGACTTGCTCGATGTGGCAGTGAGGGCGACTCAGAGAAGAAAAGATGGATATGAAGGGCAGAAACAGTTAAGTAATCAAAAGCAGGGGAGAAACTGCTCCTTACAAATGCCGTGACGCTCCACGGAAGCTACATCCTCACATGGGCAAAAGATCAACCGTGGAGAGGCGCGGAAGAGCTCAAGCTTGCAAGGAGTTGGGGGTTGAAGGTGGAACCGGAGTGAAAATAAAGCTAGAGTGAGAATTCAAAAAGATGAAATCAAAAACAGGCATAGCGTCATCTCTCAAATAGGAAGGCGCGCTATGCCTGAGAAGGCAGTCGACGCGCCTAGGGCCAGGAGCCAATGGGCGAGCTGGAGGAGTGTCTAACTCTGCTCTTTCAATCTTCGCACTGCATATCATGTTGAGCCGTGACGCTCCATCGTTTATCCTGAGTTCTCATAGCTCTGCGTCCTGCAAGCTCTGGACCCACTCCTGTGCCTTTACCACCTTTCCGGCGAAGAGTGGCCAAATCAACTCTACCCCGGCGTCCTTCTGAGCCGTTGTGAACCCGGCTGTTGCATCCGATCTATTCCAACAATCAGTCATGTGGGCGTAGTGGCATAGCTTTGTTGGTATGTATCTTACAGCATGGTGATGTCATATCCGCTTCACCGGCCCATCGTTAGTCACCAAAGCCTGTACGTGTGATCAGAGAATCGAGGAAGGGACTCACAGTTCGTATGCATATCGAGCGGTGGCCTCGACACAGGTGTTGCTGACCATTCCGCCGATGACAACATTGCTTATTCCTCTCTGTCGAAGCTGAAAGTCCAAGTCCGTGTTGTGAAAGGAGCTGTGCAGGATCACGTTAGACTTGCTCGAGATTTTCAAGCTTACTCCGAACCAACGAGAGGCAATTACCTAGAGTTCCAATGCTTGGAGACAATGACATCTCCATTGTCGTAATCGGGCCTCAAACCCTCGAAGATCTCTGCTCCCCAGGAGCCTTTCTCAAATACCATCTTATCCTTGACAGTGTTGTTTGACCAGTTCATCATGTGCCAGCCTCGGTAAGAGTACGCATCCGTCTGCTGATGGAGGCAATAGAAAATTGGAAGCTTGTGCTTGTGTGCAGTGCTCACGAGGATCTTTAACGCCTCGATCGTTCCACTTTTGTCCAGGCTTTCTTGCAGCCCAGGGGTGATTTTACCGTCGGGGTGCAAGAAGTCGTTGTAGGGATCGATGAGGAGGATAGCAGTATTGTTTGCCATTGTGAGGGTTCTGTCGCTGTTTACGGTTCTTTTTCTTGGAAAGTGCTAATTGTGAGCATTTAAATAACTCGACAGTCCTCTAACACCTGAGTAGTCAGCTGTGCAAGGACGAAATCAAAGATGACGGGTTCATCAGCCCCGGAAGTTCTCGTGATTCGTAGACTGCAATATCTTCATGCAGGTATACATCACCCGATGGTGATGCTAGGCAATAAGCCTTGTATTCCGATATGGCAATCAGCGCGCTCAAGACGAATCGACGCGGCAAAAAGAGCAAAGCTTTATAAGCACGGGCTATTCGTTTAGTGGGGAATAGACTCATGATACTAGACATACCAATTGAAAACTTCCAACTCAATCGAGCAGTCAGCCCGTGGAGCATTGTGGGCGCGCGCAATGAACTGGATTGCGAGAGGTCTTAGTTGCTGTCAAGTAAGGATGTTGCCATTCCGTGATCTTGGTGAAGCCAGGTAACTCTCCACCGATTCGGCCTCTAGCTGCGGAAACCCCTTCAAAGCTAATCGAGGGAAGAAATTTTACCCTTTTTGATCAATCATCTGCTTCATTTTCAGCATCAGCGAAGGGAGAATAACTTCCCATACTGTCTTTACGTCGACTCGTTCATCGGCCCGTTCATCGGCCCGTTCAGACATCGCCTGGCCATCTTTGATCACCAGCTCTATCCTAATTATAGCAAATTTTAGTCTGCAGGCATCAAGTCTTGCATTTCAGAGAATTACCTCCGGCTGGCGCGGGTCGAAGCTGCTGACTGCAGCACCACTGCGGCTACTTCGGATTTCTTATAGACCTGTTCGAAAATGTGGCAAAAGGTCGTCTTCCTAGAGTCTGTACATGTTGAAATCAACCGGAAACTTCCGCGCCAACGTTCAAGAAGAGCCAAGTAATCGCGGAGCAGTTCAAACATGCCATAACCCACGCTCACAGAATCCAGCCGGGGATGATAAATCGTACTTGATCGGCGTGTATCCCCGTGGCTGAGACCTGTTTGGTGAACGAATGTGTCCAGATCCTCTCTTCAAGCAGGTAATCCTATAACGTCCTTAAGCGTGTTTAGAATGTCTGTGTGATGCGGATGTATCGTGTAAGGAATGGTCTCTTCGAAGTGCTTGGCCAAATCACGCAAGATTCGATATCTGCTGTTATCTCCATCCTGCTTGGGGTCTTCTCCATGCTGGTCCTTGGCTTTCTTCATCGCGGTGGCGAGGAAGAATGAACAGCTGATACAGATGTGAATGAGTAACCACACCCGACTGGCTTGGAAGTGCGACTTCCGCATCGACAGATAGAGGTATAAAATGGTCTCACAGCGATCCATGCAAATTGCATTGTGATCCTCGGCGGTGTCCTGGTTTCCCTCTCCTGTCTCTGGCGAACGTGGCGTGATCTGTGCGGAATTCGCAAACAACGGCCGAGCAGTCAAAAGGTGCCGGTGGAGCTGGAAAATGAAGAAGTTGACGAAGATCTGAAACGCTTTTTGAAGCAGACGTTGGGTGTTGTCTCTGCAGATTGCTCGATTCCGCAGGTATTCCTCTGCAGAGGCTTCCCATAATAAAATCTGCTCTTCAGCGACTCGGAAGTGAACTGCAGGGGGACTTGCAGAGCCCGCTCTGCGAAAACGTGTCCATTCGTGGCACATGTCGTTCATAACAATGGCAAGTCCATGGCAGCTCTCCGGGTAAGACAGACCTATGCCGTTGGTCGAGCGAGGGATACGTGGAATCGAGCCATCTACGAAAGCGGCGCAAGGGCGGTCGTAGCAGAGGGAGAGAGTAGTGTCTTGCCACACGAGACCCTGCCTGAAGAGAGATTGTTAACAGTAGTCCCTCTGAGACGAGCACGGTCAATGAATTAAAAGGCACGTGTCGTACCACAACGTCCAGGCTTGCTGTTCGATGACAGGCGAATCCTTTCTCGGTGGAGGCGCACAATGAAGGCTTAAAGATTGGGCCAAACGGATTGCCATGCCTAACAGTCTCCGGTCAGTACGGTGAGGCGAACCGAAGATGACAATTCTTGAGCATACCCAGCAATGACCAAGATGCCGCGGGATTCGCTTGGTCCCGCAGGTTTCCACATAGTCCAACGAGTGCCCGTACGCTACTTATCGTTGGTTGAAGGAGATAATTGTCGAGTCGGAGGAGCGCGAATGTGCAACAGACTATAGAATCAAATTTTACATTAGCTGGCCTCGAAATGTTCGATAACTGAGAGAGATGGCATACCAAACACCCTGGAGCTTAGATCGCTCTCAGCTCGACTAAGAGTACTGTATGTGCATCCACATGCGAGGATACAGAAAAGAACGGCAAGCCAAGAAGGGGATCGAAGCTCACTTTCCCTCTTCTGACCGCTTGAGCGTTCACGCCAGAACGCTCTGGCGTCAGCTTCGAAATCGTCGACGGAACACGAAGGCAAGACGAGGTGGACTGTGTCGTAAAAGGCAGTCAAGCATCTGCAGTCGAAGTTTAGCATGAAGCGAGTCTCCGAATCGTACCATCGACGTACCGCTCAAAGGTTTCGTCATCAGGAAGAGCCAGACAAATATCTTCCGCGCTGGAACCAGGAAGCCACAGATTTGCGAAAGGATGCATAGATCCCGTGTCGGCCAGGTACAACAGTTTCATGGTCTCGTGCGCCGAGGGCTGAAGATTGCTTCCTCCACTACTCGATTGTTGGGAGTCCTCCGGAGGCTGTCCAGATTTCAGGGTATCAAGGAGTGCTGAGGCGAGTGATTCAGCGCCCATATATACTGGCGCTCCAATCTCCTCGGTTGTCGCTGCACTGGGCGGGCCCCTGGCGGGAGACCTTTGATTATGCGGCGGCCGTTTTTGAACTGAAGGCCTGTCGACGATATGCCCTTCGGTTATCTGATGCCGATTCGGAGGCTGGTCTGGTGATTGAGCATTGAGAGGACCAAATTGTCGAACAATTTTTTCTGCCATGGCTTGCATCCGGCGTTCGAGGTCTGCGAGCGACGCCAGTCTCTCTTTCGTTGATTTATTCGATGCTTTGGAGCCGACATGCTCTCTGCGTGGTTTGCCCTTGTCGTCCAAATAGGCGCAAAGTCCTGGCTGTTCGTGTTTTATACAACTCGCACACGGGTGGCTGTGATCACAGCGGACTTTGCGACGACGGCATGGATGACAGGCTTTTGGGAAAGACTTTCGTCGGCGCAGTGCCAGGAGATTGTCGATATCTTGAAGGGCAACTCCTCCGTGCTGGGTCTCGTCGTGCTCGTTGGGGGTTTCCATTGGGGCTCTTGCATTTGAGAATGGGGAGGAAACCGAGGTGTGGTCCACCTTCCTCAAGGCACTACTTATAGGTCGTTTGCGGGGCGACGCAGCCGCCAAACCCAGGCCCTGGACCCGCCAGAGATACCCAATCGCGCGCCGTCTTAGCTACGCGCGGAAGATTCAGCGTGACTCAATCCTCCTCAGCCAGAATGAATTGCAGATTAGTATGAGTTGCGCCGGCAAGAGTGCCGATCCAAGGCAAGTGTTCACGACTCTTGCCCATATTGCCGTCCCTGGCATCGCGCCTAATTACAAATTACGGTATGAGATTCTGTCTCCATTCAGACAGTCGGGCCTTTGCTGAGGTGCTAGATCTGCTGATTGGGCCTGGAGTACAGTATCCTTCTCAACCCAATGCCTGCGCTTTTTCTCCCAACATATCAGATCTTGTGGCGGCGCATATTGTGTCCATTCTAATCCGTCGTCCGATTCAACCTGTACTTTAGCGCGGGACAAATTTGCTCATAACTCTGATCTTCTGTCCATATATGTAGAAGAAAACCGGGCAGGGTGCGAGAGCTAACGTGAGGAAGCCCAAAAGAGAGCTCGCCCATGCCACTCCAAGCCGATGATACCTTTGTTCACTCTGGCAAATGATAAAATTGAAGGGGCAGTTCTTTCTCAGCCCACATTGCGGTTGCGAATAACGGGAAAGATGCCGCGAAAACCGATCGACACATCGTGTTGGCGGCCATGGCGCTGTTCGACAGCATCAGGTAGACATCAACCAGATAATTGACACCCCGCATGAATAGCAGCATAATCCCGATTCCAATGGGTATTGCAGAGAGCACTTGTAGCACCAAGTGATATTTTTGTCAGAAGTGCATGCAAACCAAAACAGCCCGATTGAGAGCAACAGTCCTCCAACCACCATGGAGGGAAGTCGGTCTTCCGGCGTGTGTGTACCATGGTCAAACTTGCGTTTAAAATGTATTGCCGTGTTTAAAGCAGAGATGACACCGTCAATGATGATGCCAATTCCGAGAGAAATGAATGGGAGCGATGCAATCGCAGGCTTCCATCCCCGCTGCTCGTGGAAGGCGATAGGGAATGCCTCAAAGAACAGGTACAGAATTCCGTACACCACGGCGAGATACATGGTGATCGGCGAAAGTATGGGTTCCCGGATGAGCATGAAGAATGGTCGAGCAAGGAACCTGACCACCAAGCAGTGGACGGTGATCTATTGTTCGTCCATCTTTGAGTGGATGGACCAATACGTGTTTGATGCCGGAGACGCTTCGCCCTTCTCTGCAGCAACACCGGTCCATATGTTTCGGGGACAACGAGGACTCCAAGTATCCAGGAGAAGATGCTGAGCATGAATGAAACGTAGCCAGTCCACCTCCATCCCAGATAGCTCTCAGTGATGAAAGATCCTACTACAGGACCCATGGCCGGACCAAAGGAAACAGTTGATGAGAACACAGCGACTGCGAGTCCTCTTTGAACGGGACCGTAGATATCGGCGACAATGCCGGCGACGATTGTAAGAGCGGACGAGCCAGAAGTGCCTCCCAGGAAAGCGGATGAGCATGACTGTTTGAAGGTTTTGTGCCACAGGGATGGGAATCTGCATGATGCAGAAGGCGAAGTACCTGAGAACAAGGGGAGGGTCCGTCCAAATCTTTCCGAAAGAGGGCCGAATATGACTGGGCCCAGTCCAAAACCCTGCTTAAGCGTCAACACATGCGCCAGAAGAACCATGGCCCGCGGAGGTCGTTATTACCAAGATATACAAGCTTATGCCAAGCGTCGAAACTTCAGTCGATACATGAAAACTGAGAGCAATGGGGACGATAGCTGAGCTATAGATGCTGCTGATAAAGGTGACGGAGAAAGATAATAGGGATAGCACCGTTGCTGTGGCTAATTTGCGCCCTGAGCTGAGATTCATTGGGTGCCCCTTGTCGAAAAAGTATTTTCAGCTCGTTGACCTTTATTGCGTGGAGGACATGAAAGCCTACCGGATCGTCTGGTCCGTCCCAGTCTATGCATTCATCCTGAGTTATTTGTAACTCGAGGTCTGTCATCTCATTTTGCGAGTGCGAGGCTACAAATACTAGTGCAGAGCCGTGACGGCTGCTGGAACTTCGACTGCATTGTGCGGAAAGACGTCTTGGGATCCGAAGATCGTCTCCTATCTCGAGGTCACTCTTCGAGGTCGGCGTAGACGTCGACGAAGTCTCTTGTAGCAAATCTGATTGGACTTGATCCTTCTCGTTGGACGAAAGCTGTCTCTGTCCTTGTTTTCTATGCTCAGCGGTGTGTGGAGGCTGCTTCAGTTCTAAGTTAGCTATACTGTCCACTGGCAAATAAACACAAAAAAAGGTTTAAAATAGAATGCTTGCAGGGAGTCATGGCTTACAGCTTCCGTCGTTAGGTTTCTTTCTTTCTCACGAGAGGCATCGACAGTGTCTTCAAGAGACATCACCGAAATCAAGCGAGCAGAACAATGGGAGGCAGACCTAAATGCAGGATAGAAGGCTCTTCGACACCTTCACCTAGGCGAGAGGTCTCCATGGCTGAGCCTCCACTCAAGGGCGAGCTGCTATATCGAATGGATTGATCATCAATATCTATTTTGTCGCGGATCGGAGACACGGTGAAACACGAGGACGGAGTTGCCATGTGCGATCAACGCGGCCGCAGAGGCTGTAGAACGTTGTTTGCGTGCTTCTTATTCCCGATTCCGCCCCGAGCTTGATACGATTGGATGAGGCGAACGTTAATCTCTGAGGTTATTTGCCCTTCCGGGTTATATCGGAAAGGCTTCCAAGGTACTCTTCGACAAAACGGGGGGAAGCTCGCACACTCACGTCCTCGGACTCAAGATGGATGGATTTAACGTATCCAATGGGAGGCTTTGGTTCTGCCTTTCGGTGCGTTTGGGCTGCGTTTGGGGAATTGCCTGTTCACAGATGAGTAAGTACGGTTGCTTTCGTGACGCGGCCTCGGCACGTCATGAAGACGGAGGCCGGTAGACCGGAAAAAGCTTAATGAGTTGAAATCTCAGAAGAGTATGACTGCATGAGAAGCATTCTATGATGCCATGAACCCTTAACCTTCTAGGTGACTCACTATAGGTGAGGTTTGGACTAAAAAGAGCCGCGAAGAATTGAGCAGGCTTTTTTGGCCCGGCAAATTAACGACATATAACACATCGCGGATCATATCTACAGTCAGCACGTCTGGAGCGATATTGACCGTTGTTGACCCTACACCCCAGGACGACGTCTCTTTGCGCACGCCATTACAGGATTTCTCCGCTGTTCGTAAACGTCCGCTTCCACGATGAACATAACAGGCTCCCCCTCTACTAGTCTAGGCTCATCGGGCAAGTGTCACCCCATATCATTCCCGAACTGCTGCCAACTTGATTGACTTTGCAATCTAATGCTCTGGAAATGAAAACTCGTTGGGCAGAGATCTACCACCTTATTCTGGCTCAAAAGCTATATATCTGTGTGCGGGCAGTTTTCAGTATCTTGGATTGACAAGATATCTCTCCAGCGAGTATTACCTATATTGTCGGAGCATCGATCTTCTGCATTCCTACAACTGAAGTTTCGAAGTGACTTTTCGACCTTAAGTAAGGGCCGTACCGGAACAGTAGCCAAGGGATGGGCATTAAAACCAGAGAAAGAAAGGCGTAGAGACTTCCAGCCCAGTGGACACCAAGTTTCTCGTACATCTGGACCGTAAAGAGTGGAAAAGTGGCTCCTAGTGTATAACGAAGGGTGCCATTAGCAGATAGTGCTGTAAAATCCAGTATCAGCGACAGCACCACTCTCCAAATTTTTCAACATACCTGACGCGGCGCCTCGAGACCCATAGACGTCCACGAGGTAGGTGATGGTCGACAACTGGGACGAGAATTGTCAGCAAAGAGAGAGTTTCCCAAACTCGTTGACCAGCCACATACAAACAGTGAAAGTGCACCGAATCCAAAAGGTATCCCGGCAGCAACTAATGCAGCCCAGTGTCCACCCGAATGGGCTTCCCATGCATACCTACAGCAACTGGTCAGTCGTTGAGATCAACTGGTGCGCCGCAAAGCAAACCAGGTTCAAGCTTCAGATAAACTCACCAGAACAGGCTGACGGGGAGGAAAAAACTGCCGACTAGGGCGGAATACAGTCGATGCTCTGGCGCGGCCATGCCCTCCGGCGAGCCTGCGGTCGCCCGGGCGTAGAGAGTCTTGTCAAAAGTGCCAAACATGGCACTGCCCAGGAAGAAGCCAATGATAACGCTGATCAGGCTGAGGCCAACTTGGCGGGGGTTAAAGTCGTAGTTCAATTGGAGCACGTACGCGGTGCTCCCAAAGTAGCTGAAGATCATGGCGTAGGCGTAGGCACTGTAGACCGTGAGGCAGAAGACGATGGGCTCGGAAAAGAGCATCTTCGCGGCACGGAGTATGGAGAATCCGACAACGTACCTGGCCCGGGAAAGACGGTTATGCGAAGGTGAATTTAGTGGTCCGGCGGTCTTCTGCTTTTTCTCGGCGTTGCGCAAGATTTGATCTTTCGACGTCTCGCCCATGACGAATGTGCCAATCCAAATGGGCGTCCCGACGCAGCACAAGAGCCACTGAGTCCATCGCCAGTCCCCCTTACGGTCATGCATGATGTAGGCGCCAGCTAGCGGGCCCAAGGAAGGGCCGAGAAATGGTCCGAGAATGAACAACATGCCTGCGATGCCACTCTTCTTGCCCACTCCCCACACGTCGACCACCGTGCCCGCGCCGACCGCCACCCCCGCCGAGCCCAAAAAGGCTGCCAGGAACCGACAGACCAACAGGGTGGAGAAGTTGTGGCTCGCGCCAGCCCCAGCGGTAAAGGCCAATAGGAAAAAGGTGGTGACGATGTAGAGGCGACGGCGGCCAGTGATTTCGGATAGTGGCGCGAAGAAGAGGGGTCCAAATGCCACGCCGATGGTGTAGACGGTAACGACCAGGACGGATGCCGTCCGGGAAACGTGAAAGTGGGCGCCGATGGCCTGTGTTGCCGGCACCGTTACGGACGTGCCAAAGGTCCTGCGTCGGTCAGAGATCCTTTCGACCCGGGATTGTGCTGAGTCTTACACTTGAAAGGCAAGCAAGCACGGAATTGCCGTGTGAAAGAGTCGCCTTGGAAATGACCAATTCTGCGGGTTACGTTTCTCCCACAGGTCGATACATGCGAGATTCGTGCTGTCCTGAGTTATGTTTCTAGCCTGATCTGCTTCTTTTTCCAGATACATCAACGCGCTATCCGTCTGCTCGCCAGGGTCCGAATGGGTCTTTGGCATGATGAGAAGTCGAAGGTATTGAGGTCTGCGGGAGAAAGCTCAAGTTGTTTGCCAGGAATCTTTCGCCTCGAAGGTCCGATTCGAGGGGCCGTACATAGTCTTTATTGGGACTTGTTTATCTCGGGTCACGGATGCAAGTACCCGAGGCAGCTCTGTGGGACAATCAGTGTGATTAATATTCATTCACCCTTTTCCCATTACTCCTGCTCTCTGTCGAATCAGTGGGGCGTGGCTTGATGAAATCAATGGATTAAGCACTAGGATGGTCCAGTGGGAGTATAGGACCTCCGAGCATCAAATTCCATGTTGAAGATCAGTAATCATTCTGGTTGGCCAGTGTTGGGGCTTAGATGCGGGAGGCATCGAGATTAGGGGTAAATTCAGGGATTCGGAGCTTCCTCTGCCGCCTATCGTTGATTGGCCCTGAAAACAACGGGTCTGCTTCAATGCACAGGGTGTTTGTCACCCATCACTGGCAGAGGGAGCACATGCCGCAGTTGTGTCAGCCTTTCCAGAGCCGAGGATGTTGTTGCAGACCAGGCGACTTCAGTGCGTATTTGAAGTCCCAAAAATGGAAGCGTCCTGCTCGTGATCTGGGTAGATTCATGAATCCGGCATTGTTCTTCACAAAAGGCACATTTGAGAAGCTGCAGGAACGACAAGTTGCAACAATCAAGGCCTGCACTCGCGTGCAGTTGTGACTCGCCCTAGATATGCAAGAAAGTTCGGCAACGCGTAGAAACCTAAATGCAAACCTGAGAATTACCAGCTCGAACATCGCACACTTCAGGTCTACACCAGTCCAAGCCAAATACGTGTCTCTTTATCTTGCCTATGGTGTCACTGTGCTAAGACGCAGCTTTCATTCAATCTCAAGGAGTCTGTTCGCCGTATCGATCACCGTCTCCCTCAGTGATCGATAAATCTTGTCTCCGAACACTCTCCTAATATCTGAGTCATCAACTCGATAGTATTCCGTGCCCTCCTCCTTGCTGGCCACAATCGCCGCAGCGGGATTGAAGTTAGACGCTGACTGAGTTGTGGAAATTCATCTTTCAGTATCTGCAGCACCGTTCCCGCCAAGAATGGTTCCGAATTGGCCAACAATATCCTGCGATTCTTGTCACCCGCCTCGGTCAAGGATCGGACATGCACTGCGGCGAGATCCCGAGCCCCAATGTAGGTACTGAACAGAGGCTTACCCTCGGCGCCCGGCCTCTAGAGGTTGTCGTAGAAGACATCGGAACTCAAATTTGTTCGGCCCTTGTCGAACGCCTTCTCGTCAAGCCGTTGCAAGGGTGGAACTATGATGAAGGGGCTTCCGGCGGGCCAATATCTAAATTAATGCTGCCAGGTGGTCATACTGACGCTGAAATGACAGAGACGGTAAATAATTCAGGTTCTTATCCTCCAAACTTCCACAATGCCTTTTCGGCCAATGTTTTCGCGAACGCATAACTCATGAATCCGTGTTGGGCCTTGCGAGCAAATTCGGGATCGACCTGTTGATGCACACGTAGAACATCAGCTGCAGGCTCAAAAAATGGTGCGTTGCCACTAATACCTCATTTCAATCATTTGCAGTCAAGGCTTTACCAGTAAATGGCTTTGTGAGATCGGCGACCGACACGAGACTGCCGGTGAAGCAAAAATGCTTGAGCGCTTCGGAGGAGGTACGAGCGGCATTGGGCAGCTCCAGGTTCCTAAACGCAACTGTGAATATTTATCACGAACAAGCTAAAAGATTGACCCCTCACCCCTGGACCGCAGGAATCAAAAAGTCTTTGTCAAAGTCCTTGCCACTTCCATCTGGTACTGGAGATGCAGTATGAATAATGTAATCAAATTGCGTTTCCTTGAAGATCTCGTCATAGGCGCCTGCCGCTGAAAGATCTGGTATCACTACAAGCTTGACTTTGGCTTTGAGACTGGGATGAGCTACGAAGACATCCTCAGTCTTGGTCTGTGTACGAACGGTTCCGGTGACTTCATAACCATTCTGCTTGTGGTCAGTGGTACCTTCATGAGCAGGCCTCTTCAGACATACTTCGACGAGTTGGCTCAAGATATGTGTGGCTAGAAAGCCATTCGCGCCAGTGACGAGAACTTTCGGCATGGTTGTTGTACTCTTGCAAAGATCAGTCAACAATGGAGAGCGATGAACACTGCAATGAGACTTTTGAATCTGTCCCGACGCTTTTTATATCCTCGAAGCAAACGCATTATCGCTAAATCTCTGTGCTCTGAGGACCATGGCGATCGACATGCCACGGAGCAGATATCGGTACGGGAGTATCTTCTACGTCACCTTCCAAGGGTAGGGGTCGGGCCAAAACTCGGCAAGACCGCGATTAGCGGCACTGATATTTCTAATCTCCAGACTGCTTGTACTGTAACATTCCTCTGGGACTCAAGAGTCTCGACTTTATCGGCTTCGTCCTCAACGCTGCTATATAAATTACTTTCTAGTTAGTCGAAAGGAGTAGCGCTAATACTTAATATAGTCGTCGCGTGTTATGAATCGCTCCACGTAAGGCGGTCTGCGGTCCAAGTAGGTTTACTTGTAGGGAGTAACAACTGTATGTCTGCTGAGGGTGAAGGGCACGCGGTCACTTGCAACGGCGTGATAGTAGAACAACACTCTTAGTCTAAAGGTAGGGGTTAGAGTATTAATGAAGTTGACTATAGTGCTATAGGAGTGGCCCTAGCTGTGCCTATATATATAGGTAGGTTTCCTATCTAGGTAGGTTTAGGCACTGTATAGCTATATTCGCTATATTATAGCGGTGCAGTTAGTGCAGCGACTATTTCCTCCTTCGGAAGTCACGTGACCTTGGTCAGCCTTACTAACGAGGCTGGCTCGTATCGCTCTACCTTCCTTGCCTAAGTGTTCCTCGCCCGCGTGGCAGGTCGCATGAAGGTCGGTCTGTAACATCGCGGAACTTCGGAGATGAACTATAGTATATAAGTCGGCTTATAGAATTAAGTGCTTTGTAATATCCCCTCAGTGACCCCCTAAAGGTGCTCTGCTACGAGGACATCACAAGCTGTTCAGTACTTTAAACTGTGGTAGACAATATAGAGTGCTGAGGCAGATTTCCTCGCGACTTGTTATATTAAAAGTACCTAAGGGTCCTTTACTAATCGCTGGCATAAATGCAATAGAGACTTTAGCAGCGAAGTAACATAATTCTGAGGCCTTTTGTGTGCGATAACCCAATATTTGGTCTATTTTATTGTTTGGCCCTCCCACTTGAGAATCGCGTCCATATTATCCTTCGCAGTCTGCTCCAGCGTCCGCCATCCATCCTGGCCTGCCCACTTCTTCAGCAGGGCCAATTGCTGAGTAGTACCGGTAGTAAGACTCAGCTCCGACATACCGGGAAGGTCATCAATGAACTTTTGTTGAGGATAGAGCTTCCTCAACATTGCCAGGAGCGTATTCCAGTTAAAAGGATCGGCCCAGGCCTGTAGACGGGCATTGTTGACCTCTGGGTCGAGGGCCGCCGCGACGTGGAGCAGGGCAACATCTTTGACGTCGATGTTGTATGCTATTCAGTTGGTATTAGATTAACTTCAGTAGGAAATGACAGAGAGCTCCAAAAATGCACAGAAAACAAGGCATAAATTGCTTACATGCGGGGAAATTGCGCAGAAGGTCCATGTTGCCGTCGTAGAGCTGCTTCATCCAAGAGATGGGACTCTGGATGTGGCTTATGTGGAGTGGCTCTCCCATAATACTCGACGGGCCGACGGTGTTGACGGTGAAATGAGGGTTCTTCTCCACGGCAAATTTCCAGACCGCCTTCTCCGCCTCGACCTTGCTCGCCATGTACACAATGGAGCCACGAGCCCGATTGGCTCCATAAGGCGGTGGGGCCCAGGCCATTTGCAAGGCGGTGTCATTCCACGTATCCGACTTGACATGCGTATCGACACCCGGCTGGGGAATTGCAGCCGCCACGATGGAGCTGGTATACACAAACGCCCGCACCGACGTCTCTTTGAGCGCCGCTTCAAGGATGGAAACCGCGCCGCGTACGGTCTGAGGGATCACGTTGTTCGGATCCGGGTCGAAGCTGACAACGGAGGCGACATGGGCGATGGCGGAGACACCACGGACGGCATCGTCGAAGGCATGATCGGCGGCCAAATCGTGCACAGTGACTAGCTCCAGGTCGCCGCGGTCGGCATACGCCTTGAAGACATCGTCGACGAGCCAGGAAGCCCTCTCGAGATCGCGGACAGTACCCCGTACCTTGTACCCGCGCTCCAAAAAGTGCTTAATGACCTGTGCCGCCACATAGCCATTTGCGCCGGTTACAAGCACCAGCGAACCCTTGGGGACATTTCGGTCTAGTTCTGCCATGTCGATAGGTAACGAAACCGGATTGATTCTTTGTTGGTGGTTGACCTTCTTGTGTCCAAGGTTTCTGGCGCTTGGATATATACCTTGTCCCTTTAAGGAGCCCAGTAGCCTTAGATTCCATGAGCTCAGATTACAAAAACCGTAAGCTTATAAATAACCCTTTCTCGATTCCGGAAGAGTCTTCGCATCTTCTGACAACCCAATATATCATTCGAAAGATTTGTCTTCTATCTTGTGCGTGCGGAAGTGCGTTGCTCTGCGGTTGTGTCGATGGGGCGCATCGTACCTGACCAGAGTTCAATATTGAGCTTAGGGCATTCCGAAATAGGTAATAGTAAGTCTTGGCAATTGTACCTTCCCGAAATGGTGAAACACAAAAGCCTCGGGCGGATGATGAGTAAACAGCTAGAGATCGAGGCAGCGAAACAGGCAATATCAAGTCTTGGCAGAAGATGTCGGTTGTGGAAAGGTCTCAAGGATGGGAGGGGAGGCTGACGGATCTAGCGTACAACGCAGCGGGATATGGGGCAGGAAACACGATCATCTAGTGGATAATGTAGTGGGATGTGGGGTAGTGTTGCGAATCGGTCCCTCGTGGCCGCGCCACGCCTTCGTAAGGTTCGATAACGGGGAGCAGGAGTTCGTTATCGATAGTTCAAGTGATGATCATTGTGAACCTTGCAGGTTCGACCAGAACTTAAGTTGACCACGAAGGTCCTATCTGCTGTTGGGGGGAGGGAGCGCGTATATATACCAGCTGTTGCCAAGAGTCCTTGCTCAATGGTGCTCAGCGTGCTCAGTGTGATCAGTACTGAGCAGGTCTGGGAATACTGATCATGCCGAACCTTGTCATGTGACGCCGCCATGTATGCTCAGGTGTCCCTAGCTCTATACCAAGTCATCGGGATAGCTTCCTCCGCAGGCCTGCCGCCTGTGGCCATGAGGTCGTTTCGTAACAGGTAGGAAATAGTATTAACTCCTTACATCATCTTCAAATGGGATGCCACTGCCATGTGAGGCACCTTGATCCAATCTTACACCAACTTGGTCAGCATACTTCTCGAGAATCATCTCGAGAAAACCACCCAGACCCAGGGTCTGCGGGCCGCCATTGAGTACCACCATGCTGGCCGCTCCTCGAACATGGTTTCTGGCCATGGCCATATCGCCAGTGGTGATCTGAACAAGGCTCGTGGTTAGCAGGAAAACCGCAGCTACGAGCAAACCGAAAACCTACCTCATCCAAGGCCAATATCATTACTTGGGCTATGACCGAGTCGCTAAATAACATCCCCTCGGAGCGCAAGTTGATGGCATCATTTACCGCCCGCACACACGGCAGCTTGTACCAGGTCGCCAGTTGGGAGAATTGCGCTCCCTGTTCCTGCTGGCTGAGTCCCGAAAGATGGCGAGACGCATTGAGGAAGATACCACTTAGGAAACCCGAATCGCTGAGGCTGAGTCGCACCCATCCCTGGACCATGCCATCCAAGGATGGCCCGAAAGCATCAGTCTTGATGCACTGGCTTTTCAAGTAAGGGGAGACCGTCGTTAGATCTGGGGTGCCCATGTCAGTTGATGACAAATGCAACCCCCGTCCTTGTGCGCCCTGTCCGAAGCCAGGGGACGTAGATGTTCACATCACCGCACTCACAATGATCTAGTAAAAAATGCTCGATGGGCGTAAACGGCCTCACAAAGCTCGTGAAGAGGTCTCGACGACCCGAGCCTAGCCCACCCAGAACTGGATGCCAACCCGCAACGTGTTTCTGTGTCTCTGTGACCACTACTGACTGCTGCTGAGCAACATTGTGAGCAGCGGGAACTGTCCGAGACAATTCCGTGCCCAGATGGTCCTTTACGAGGCACGGCAGTAGCTGCTGTGTCGTCGTCCTCATGGCGGTATTCGCGGCTTGATAACCGAAGGTACGGGCATGTCTCACTCTGGCATGAGTAGTCCGGGCAGCGTGCGACTGGATGGCGCTTCGATCCGCCGGAGCATGCTTCCTCCGTTTTGGGCTAGACACGCTTATGAAGCGTATCGCCCTATGCGATTCGCTGTTTTGCGGAGACATTTGAATGTTCTCTCTGAGTCTTTCAATGGATCGCGGGCCCGATATGGAAGAAGAGTGTCTCGGGATGCTGGCGCATGGTTTAATACTCTTATTGCGGCGAAGCGTTCCGTAAGCACCAACAGGTGCTAGCCAATTAGCGTCAATTGAGCACCCAATGATCATTGCCACCTATACCGACATCACAACCACCAATGCTCACCGGTTCGACCACCACGTCGAAACTATGCAGGTGGAGTACTTTGTCATGTCGTTTTTCGCGAATGTAACCGACTACACAAAGTTTTCTTGCAAAGAAACCCGCATTTCAGAGGAAAGTGCACATGGTTGGTTATTCTCTTGGTCATTAATGACGCTCGAACTTTTGTGTTCCCAGGTATCGGAGCCGTCCAAACCATGCAATAGGCGCCTCACTGTTGGAAGCGTTAGTGGTTTTGGTATAGCATTTGGGGTGCCCGTGAACATGCCGTTGACGGTCATTGTCGTGGCTGGCTGGACTGCTCTCGCTGACCAGAGTGTCTACGATACCGACGTGATTGATCTTACTACGCACGACGATAGTGTAGGTGGGCACTTTGGGCTCGTGCCTATCAAGACCTGGAGCCAAATCCGACTCGCCACAGAGGGTGGAACTTTATTAAAGGTACTTAGCGCCTATATCTTACGCCGTAATATATAATTTGGCATCTCCTCTAGGGACTCTAACTTATCCTAGTAAAATATATCTTATTCCTCGGCCTTAGTAATTAATCTCTTTAAACGTGTAATCTCTCGCCTCTTAGCCCGCGACTTAACTACTAGTTAATTTTTATTAATACTCTAACCCCTACCTTTAGACTAAGAGTGTTATTTTATTATTACACCGTTATAAGTGACCGTGTACCCTTTACCCTTAGTCGATATATAGCTATTACTCTCTATAAGTAAACCTACTTAGACCGTATACCGCCTTATATAGAGCGATTCATAATAAGAACGCTAGATTTTAGGGATCTTATAAATATAAATATAGTTATATTAATATAGGACTAAGTACTTACTAATAGTATATTATTTTAGCTTAACCTTTAACGCGGCTAGAGTATAAATATAAGAGGTAGCTAGACCGAGGCTAAGAGAATATAGGGACTGTAGCCTTAAGGAATATTAGGCTAAGGTTATATTATAGCTTAGTTATACTTAGTAAAGATTAGTGTACTTAGCACTAAGTATTACTAAGCACCACTAAGCAGACTAAGCGGCTAGTAAGTATATATACGCGGGTCGGTACCTACCTATATAGGAACTATAGTTAACTTCGTTAATACTCTAACCCCTTCCCTTAGACTAAGAGTATTATTCTACTATCACGCCGTTATAAGTGACCGCGTGCCCTTTACCCTTAGTAAATATATAGTTATTACTCCCTATAAGTAAACTTACTTAGACCGTATACCGCTTTATGTAGAGCGATTTATAATATATATATATATATATATATATATATATGTATTAAGCTCAAAGAATAAAGTATATACTAGTACTTACTTAAAGTATAGTAAGTTAAGATAAGCTACTATAGAGAAAAGGTAAGCTAAACTATTTTAGGCGAATTTCGTACTTTAATAGGCTTTTTATCGAAATAAAAGAGGAGTATACTAGTAATCTATACACTAAGTACTTAAGCTATACTAATAATATAGCTTAGTCTCAGCCTAGTCTTAGTACGGACTCAGCCCGCTACTCGCTCAGTCCTAGCCAACTCTCAGCTCGATCTTAGCTCGGTCCTAACCTAGGCCAGCTCCCCGTAAGAAGGGCTATATAGAACTATAGTATAACGAAACTGTATTAGAACAGCATCAGAACAGCATCAGAACAGCATCAGAACAGCATCAGAACAGCATCAGAACAGCATCAGAACAGCATCAGAACAGCATCAGAACAG